TTATGATAGAGGGCCATGAGACTTACACCTGAGTGCAAACATGGAGGCTCTAGACCCTTCCAGAGCTGAGATATCGAAACTCAAAAATTCGACCCGAAAAAAAAAACACGACAGTGGTACCCCTTTCGTTTTTTTTCATTTTCGGGCGAAAAATTAAGTTTCTCCAATCTTCTCAAAACTCTGGAATCTGATAGAGGGCCACGAGACTTTGACCTGAGTGCAAAAATGGAGGCTCTAGACCCTTCTAGAGCTGAGATATCGAAATTCAAAATTTCGACCCGAAAAAAAAAAACGACAGTGTTACCCCTTTCGTTTTCGGCCGAAAAATTAAGTTTCTCCAATCTTCTCAAAACTCTGAATTCTGATAGAGGGCTGTGAGACTTTGACCTGAGTGCAAAAATGGAGGCTCTAGACCCTTCCAGAGCTGAGATATCAAAATTCAAAATTTCGACCCGAAAAAAAAACGACAGTGTTACCCCTTACGTTTTTTTTCATTTTGGGGCGAAAAATTAAGTTTCTCCAATCTTCTCAAAACTCTGGATTATGATAGAGGGCTGTGAGACTTTGACCTGAGTGCAAAAATGGAGGCTCTAGACCCTTCCAGAGCTGAGATATCGAAACTCAAAATTTCGACCCGAAAAAAAAAACGACAGTGTTACCCCTTACGTTTTTTTTCATTTTCGGGCGAAAAATTAAGTTTCTCCAATCTTCTCAAAACTCTGGATTATGATAGAGGGCTGTGAGACTTTGACCTGAGTGCAAAAATGGAGGCTCTAGACCCTTCCAGAGCTGAGATATCAAAATTCAAAATTTCGACCCGAAAAAAAAACGACAGTGTAACCCCTTACGTTTTTTTTCATTTTCGGGCGAAAAATTAAGTTTCTCCAATCTTCTCAAAACTCTGGATTATGATAGAGGGCTGTGAGACTTTGACCTGAGTGCAAAAATGGAGGCTCTAGACCCTTCCAGAGCTGAGATATCAAAATTCAAAATTTCGACCCGAAAAAAAAAACGACAGTGTTACCCCTTACGTTTTTTTTCATTTTCAGGCGAAAAATTAAGTTTCTCCAATCTTCTCAAAACTCTGGATTATGATAGAGGGCTGTGAGACTTTGACCTGAGTGCAAAAATGGAGGCTCTAGACCCTTCCAGAGCTGAGATATCAAAATTCAAAATTTCGACCCGAAAAAAAAAACGACAGTGTTACCCCTTACGTTTTTTTTCATTTTCGGGTGAAAAATTAAGTTTCTCCAATCTTCTCAAAACTCTGGATTATGATAGAGGGCTGTGAGACTTTGACCTGAGTGCAAAAATGGAGGCTCTAGACCCTTCCAGAGCTGAGATATCAAAATTCAAAATTTCGACCCGAAAAAAAAAACGACAGTGTTACCCCTTACGTTTTTTTTCATTTTCAGGCGAAAAATTAAGTTTCTCCAATCTTCTCAAAACTCTGGATTATGATAGAGGGCTGTGAGACTTTGACCTGAGTGCAAAAATGGAGGCTCTAGACCCTTCCAGAGCTGAGATATCGAAATTCAAAATTTCGACCCGAAAAAAAAACGACAGTGTTACCCCTTACGTTTTTTTCATTTTCGGGCGAAAAATTAAGTTTCTCCAATCTTCTCAAAACTCTGGATTATGATAGAGGGCTGTGAGACTTTGACCTGAGTGCAAAAATGGAGGCTCTAGACCCTTCCAGAGCTGAGATATCAAAATTCAAAATTTCGACCCGAAAAAAAAACGACAGTGTTACCCCTTACGTTTTTTTTCATTTTCGGGCGAAAAATTAAGTTTCTCCAATCTTCTCAAAACTCTGGATTATGATAGAGGGCTGTGAGACTTTGACCTGAGTGCAAAAATGGAGGCTCTAGACCCTTCTAGAGCTGAGATATCAAAATTCAAAATTTCGACCCGAAAAAAAAAACGACAGTGTTACCCCTTACGTTTTTTTTTTCAGGCGAAAAAATAATTTCTCCAATCTTCTCAAAACTCTGGATTATGATAGAGGGCCATGAGACTTACACCTGAGTGCAAAAATGGAGGCTCTAGACCCTTCCAGAGCTGAGATATCGAAACTCAAAAATTCGACCCGAAAAAAAAAACACGACAGTGGTACCCCTTTCGTTTTTTTTTTCATTTTCGGGCGAAAAATTAAGTTTCTCCAATCTTCTCAAAACTCTGGAATCTGATAGAGGGCCACGAGACTTTGACCTGAGTGCAAAAATGGAGGCTCTAGACCCTTCTAGAGCTGAGATATCGAAATTCAAAATTTCGACCCGAAAAAAAAAAACGACAGTGTTACCCCTTTCGTTTTCGGCGAAAAATTAAGTTTCTCCAATCTTCTCAAAACTCTGGATTCTGATAGAGGGCCACGAGACTTTGACCTGAGTGCAAAAATGGAGGCTCTAGACCCTTCTAGAGCTGAGATATCGAAATTCAAAATTTCGACCCGAAAAAAAAAACGACAGTGTTACCCCTTTCGTTTTCGGCCGAAAAATTAAGTTTCTCCAATCTTCTCAAAACTCTGAATTCTGATAGAGGGCCACGAGACTTTGACCTGAGTGCAAAAATGGAGGCTCTAGACCCTTCCAGAGCTGAGATATCAAAATTCAAAATTTCGACCCGAAAAAAAAAACGACAGTGTTACCCCTTACGTTTTTTTTCATTTTCGGGTGAAAAATTAAGTTTCTCCAATCTTCTCAAAACTCTGGATTATGATAGAGGGCTGTGAGACTTTGACCTGAGTGCAAAAATGGAGGCTCTAGACCCTTCCAGAGCTGAGATATCAAAATTCAAAATTTCGACCCGAAAAAAAAAACGACAGTGTTACCCCTTACGTTTTTTTTCATTTTCAGGCGAAAAATTAAGTTTCTCCAAACTTCTCAAAACTCTGGATTATGATAGAGGGCTGTGAGACTTTGACCTGAGTGCAAAAATGGAGGCTCTAGACCCTTCCAGAGCTGAGATATCGAAATTCAAAATTTCGACCCGAAAAAAAAACGACAGTGTTACCCCTTACGTTTTTTTCATTTTCGGGCGAAAAATTAAGTTTCTCCAATCTTCTCAAAACTCTGGATTATGATAGAGGGCTGTGAGACTTTGACCTGAGTGCAAAAATGGAGGCTCTAGACCCTTCCAGATCTGAGATATCAAAATTCAAAATTTCGACCCGAAAAAAAAACGACAGTGTTACCCCTTACGTTTTTTTTCATTTTCGGGCGAAAAATTAAGTTTCTCCAATCTTCTCAAAACTCTGGATTATGATAGAGGGCTGTGAGACTTTGACCTGAGTGCAAAAATGGAGGCTCTAGACCCTTCTAGAGCTGAGATATCAAAATTCAAAATTTCGACCCGAAAAAAAAACGACAGTGGTACCCCTTACGTTTTTTTTTTCAGGCGAAAAAATAAATTTCTCCAATCTTCTCAAAACTCTGGATTATGATAGAGGGCCATGAGACTTACACCTGAGTGCAAACATGGAGGCTCTAGACCCTTCCAGAGCTGAGATATCGAAACTCAAAAATTCGACCCGAAAAAAAAAACACGACAGTGGTACCCCTTTCGTTTTTTTTCATTTTCGGGCGAAAAATTAAGTTTCTCCAATCTTCTCAAAACTCTGGAATCTGATAGAGGGCCACGAGACTTTGACCTGAGTGCAAAAATGGAGGCTCTAGACCCTTCTAGAGCTGAGATATCGAAATTCAAAATTTCGACCCGAAAAAAAAAAAACGACAGTGTTACCCCTTTCGTTTTCGGCCGAAAAATTAAGTTTCTCCAATCTTCTCAAAACTCTGAATTCTGATAGAGGGCCACGAGACTTTGACCTGAGTGCAAAAATGGAGGCTCTAGACCCTTCTAGAGCTGAGATATCGAAATTCAAAATTTCGACCCGAAAAAAAAAACGACAGTGTTACCCCTTTCGTTTTCGGCCGAAAAATTAAGTTTCTCCAATCTTCTCAAAACTCTGAATTCTGATAGAGGGCCACGAGACTTTGACCTGAGTGCAAAAATGGAGGCTCTAGACCCTTCCAGAGCTGAGATATTGAGATATTTATAATGGCATAAATGCTACGTGTGATCTCAATCTACTACAACTTTCTACTACTTACTTACATGCACTTTAGAGGTGTTGTTAAAGCACTGTACAGTGCCTGTCACAGTTGTGTTTGTATTCAACGCATGTACAATATTGTAAAGTTTATTCTGCTGAATAAACCATGACAGGAAACAAACATGCTGGGGTCAATTTGTTCCTTAACATTGGTAATACTGCGTACATTATTTAAAAATATACTCAGGCACTTAATTACTTGTGTATTTACTTATTAGAATATGCAATGATAAATATTGAATTGATGAGTTGTTAATATATATAACAATACAAAATATATGGGTATGGTTTTACACCTAAATTCACCATATTGACACAAAATGATAACTGCAAACCCACCTTTCGCTGACTGGAGTCCAGTTGTTTCTGTGAATTGCAGCAATCCATTTGCTCCTCTTTCTATAGCAGTCAGTAAAAATATACCTCCGATTTTATGTCAAATCTAGTTGTACACTCAATCGCAAAGCTCTTGAAGGAAAAACGTTTCCGTTTTTAGTACATCATTGTCGTGTAAACGTTCCCTCAATTCTAAAACATACCCACTTATTATCAAATTGTCTTACTAAAGGGATAGGTAAAAGGTGATATGGCAGCTACTTTATACAGCTACCAAATGCAGTTCAGTATTGTTGGTAATTGTCACATGCCTGTGTACTTTTTTAACCAAGACCAACAATTTACGTTAAAATGTGTAATTAGAAGTGTTTTTTAGACCCAGTGACTGGTCACATTTTCACTATTTTTAACACTTTTTTTATAACTGTAGTTTATTAAATTAACTTTGAAGTACCTGATGTTCAATGTAGTTTCTCAAATAAGTTCCTAAAAGCTGTATGCATAATTACATGGAATATACCCTGAATGTGTGTGTTTTTTTTTTTTTTTGCAGATGGCTGCATGAAACGAAGAGAAAAGGAACCCCATTTTCAGTGCAATAAGAGACTGCGATCATAGAAAACATTTCGAAAGCTGCTCTCTTGTCTGTATGGCATCAACAGATGATGTTAAAGGAATAGTTCACTTAAAAATGAAGATTCGGTCATTTACTCAACCTCAAGTATGAAACCTGTATGAGTTTCTTTCTTCTGCTGAACACAAAAGATGATGTTTTGAAGAATGTCAGTTGATGGACCCCGTTGACTTTCAGTAGGGGAAAAAATACAATGGAAGTCAATGGGGTCCATCAACTGTTTGTTACCGAAGTGAACTATTCCTTAAAAACGTCATTAATACATCACAAACTGTTTCAGTTCCTGGTGATAATGAACATTTACCCTGCCACACTCATGCTGAATGATACTAGTATTATCTTATAATTACAATACAGCTGGTTTTATTAGTTTAATAAGAAAGACTGTTAAAGAAAAATCGAATTATATGCATTTTAGAAACTGGGTTGTATGGTTTTTAAAATCCCACGCAACACTATGGTTTATACATTTGTTAAATTGAAAGGACAAGAATAACTGTGAATAAATACATCAAATGTATTTATTAAAATCAAGATTTGTTCTTAATTTACTGTACCCCATGAGCTTTGTTCTTTTAAAAAGGAGTCAGTGAGACTGCCAGTGCTTCATTTGTTCTTTATTGATATGGTACTATTCAGATGGAAACTGCAAATGTATGTGTAGTAGGAAAAAATAATTCCAATTTTAATCTGTCCATGTAAATTCTGACAAATATATTCAATAAATTTGGCTCAGATGGATATTTCAAATTTGAAACCTGTTGCCTAGAGTCCAAATGAATTTGCTTCACACTTTTGAGTGATGGTCCAAACCACCTAAACATATTTTATTCATCACATAAAACTAAATATTGTCAAAAAAAAAAATACTGAAATCAACCAATTTTAGAGGAAAAAAAGAAATTTAATGAATTTTCTTCAACAGCATAACTCAAATATAGTGAGTTAAAGAGGTTCATTGCTTAATCAAGCTAAATATGCTCAACGAGAACATATTAACAACAAAAAGAAATTAAGCTCCCCCTTCCAAAATCTCTTCTCAAAAAAAATAAAAAATAAAAAAAGGAAATTAACAACTCAAGAACAAAAGGCACCTGTTTTGTACATTTGCGTCCTCATTTCATCTCGTTTTTCAGCTATGCGACAATCTACTTCTGTCAAAATCATCAAAGACAGCTGAATTATGGGTTATAGCACACAATACATACTACAGTAAAAGGAATACTATAGTATAGAAATGAATATTACACTACAGCTGCACGACAGTATAAGAAGTACTTTAGTATGATGTACTAAAGTTAACAAATTCAATAGCACTAAGGACACTATAGTATAGAGCATACGATAGTAATGCCGAAGCACTATAGATTTAACCCACTGATCTACGTGAAATCTACCGGTTGGAATATACACTCAGTGCCAAAATTGATTTCCCAAGATTCTTCTAAAATGGCGACCACCTTAAGAGCAAAATCAGCTTTAGGTAAACATCAAAATAAAAATATATATATATATAAAAAAAAAAAAACGGCCTGGCAGCAACTCAAAATGTACATGAAGACCCACACATGCGCTTCCTGTTTTAGCTCAGATGAACAATAATTAAAATACTGATAAATGAATTCATCCTTCTAGATAATTCTTATAAAACACAAACAGAATAAAGACAACAGGGAGGAAATGATCAGGTGTGTAGTGTTCTGAACAAAGCACAGGCTAATCGAATAAAAGCGAATGCAAGTCATACTGACGGAAAGGAGGAATGCGAGAATGAAGATTAGTGCCGTTACAAGACATCGAGACGGCTCGTAACTGATCATTTAGGAATTTCAGCTCTTTTCCGGCATGTGGCGCTGCTGATGCCAGGGAGAGTGTGGAGTGTCCAGAAACGGGAAATTAAAGTTTACCTGCGCTTCCTCATCCGCGACGCGTCTTGATGTGTTCGTCCTGCGACTCAAACTGCCTGCTTCCTACTTTTAAAACGTCCAATCATGGCACGCGAGTTTGCGATAAAAGAAAAGAAAGGAGGAAAAAGAAAAGCAAATAAGAACAGAGAACATCAATGATCAGGAACCTTCTTTTGTAAGCCTCAGAACTAAGAGGAGACACATTTTTCAAGATTTTAAATAGAATTATTATTGTTAATATTTTTTTTGTGTGTTTTTTTTCTGTTTTCCTTAATACTGCGATAGCTAAAGTTTAGGAGGCTGGTTTCTTTAGGTCTCGTATTTGCTTGACGAGGTACGTCTTTTCGTCGTTAAACTGCTCGTCGTCCGTGCGATCCTTCTGAAAGTTGCTAAGGAAGTCGATGAGTTTCGTTTGGTTCTTCAAAAGAATGTCTACGATGGGCTGCGTTTTATTTGGATTGGCCACAAACACCTGAGGAAATACAACAACAAAAAGATTCTTACAACTGGGAAGCATACAAGAAGTTCTTTTTTCAGTATGATTTGTTGAGTCTCTCACACCAAGCTGTAATATGTAATATGCATTTCATATGAACCACTTCTGATGAATATAAGGGTCCCACTTTCTATTAGGTGTCTTTAAAGGGATAGTTCGCTTTGAAATAAATTTTTGGTATGTTTTAGCTTACCTCAAGGGCAGTGTGTTTGTTTCCGCAGTAGTTTCAATTTCGATATTTTTAAGTCAAACCGTTCTTGTCTGTCAGTCATATAATGGAGGTCTATGGTCACCACCTCAAAGAGCATGCACAGAGAAGTCTGACTCGTAAATGTAAGTACACACTGATGGCCTAAGACACGAAACGAGCAGTTTGTGTGAGAAAACGAACAGTATTTATATCGCTTTTACCTCTCGTAACCACAGCCATGTCCAAGTGATCTGAGGGTGCGGGCACTTTGTGTGGTAACAAGAGGTAAAAACGATATAAATACTGCACAAACCGCTCGTTTAGTGTCTTTGGCCATCAGTGTGTACTTACATTTACGAGTCATTAAATCATGTTTAATTTGGACTTTTCTGTGCATGCTCTTTGAGGTGGTGACCATAGACCTCCATTATATGACTGACAAACAAGAACGGTTTGACCTAAAAATATCAAAATTAAAACAATTGCGGAAACAAAGACACCTACATCTTGGATGCCCTTGAGGTAAGCTAAAATTACTATATAATTAATAATAAAAAAATTATAATTAATTTCAAAGTGAACTATCCCTTTAATCTAGTACATAGTAGACACTTAATGTGACATATTCCTATGGAGCCACTTTATATTCACAACTTTTTGATATTTTTATGGTGCTTTTTTGTCATTCTGGAGTTTGACGGCCTCAATCCTGACATTGTATTTTCCATGCAAGGAAAAGAAGGGGTAAATTCAAGTAGTGTCTCAAAGTTTTTGTACCTTAAAGACATGGAAAGCCTCAAACTGAATGTTGGGGCTCTTGTCCCTCAGGAGATTCATCATGAGCTTCAGGTTCTCTGGTTTACTGATGTACCGTGTCATGACTGTGAAATTGTGTCTGTCGAGGAGCAGTTCACCCAGCAGCTGTCACACAAACACATGATGTTAATGACAGAACAGGCTCTAGACGACAGAAATCAGATGTCAGAACACACACCTTCAACGACTGTCTCTTGGTCACGTAGTTCTCAGAGTGAAGCAGTTTCTCGTAGTTATCAAAAACCTGGAAGATCAGAGAGAGTCATTATAAAATCTCAGCTTTTCACAATTCTATGAAAAAATGTACAAAAAAACAACAACAATATTTTACCGCATCATAGTTCTGTTCTAAAAATTCCGACACCAGGACCTTGTGTCTTGTGAGCAGGTCCTGACAAAACAACAACGAAAAACAATATATTTAGTGTCATTTCCCATTTATCAAATAGTTTATGTATCAATTAGAGCTGCACGATTACTCATTAAAAGATCGAAATTCAATTCAATTCAATCGATGTTCAACCACTCAGTCTTGTTATTTCTCTATAATATTAAATCACAGAAGTACTGGGATAAAAGTTTATAGTTCGGATATAAAGACTCAAGTACATGGAAGAGATCAAAATAGAATAAATCACCCAGAAAGTAACTTCAAATAACGATTGTATCAATTACATAGTTACACCAGTAGATGGCGACAAGTGACTTAAAGGAGTAGTTTACTTTAAAAAAAAACTTGCTGATAATTTACTCACCCCTATGTCATCCAAGATGTCCATGTCTTTCTTTCTTCAGTCGAAAAGAAATTAAGGTTTTTGATGAAAACATTACAGGGTAATGAATAAGGGTCTTATCAAGCGTAACGACCGCTCATTTCAAAAATAAATAAAAAAGTCTACATTTTATAAGCACAAATGCTCGCCTTGCTCTGTTCTGTGATGAGCTTTCGTGACTGTCCTGTTTGAACTCGTTCTTCAAAATGAACAAATCTTTTTTCAAAGTCATGACTCAAAGGGTCCTAGATAAGACACTTATTCATCGTCTGGTGTCGTTTAAAGCCCTTTGAAGCTGCACTGAATCTCATTTGGACCTTGAACCGTTTGGTTCCCATTGAAGTCCATTATATGGAGAAAATCCTGGAATGTTTTCATCAAAAACCTTAATTTCTTTTCGACTGAAGAAAGAAAGATATGGACATCTTGGATGACATGGGGGTGAGTAAATCATCAGCAAAAGTTTTTTTTTAAAGTGAACTACTCCTTTAAAACATGTATTAGTCATTGAATCATTTAAGAGATTTGTTCAAAAAAGTGAGTACTTGAATCATTCATCCAAACCAATTTGTTTTTCAATCATTTGTTCAGATTCATTAAACATTTTAAATAGCAATTAAAATGTCAGAAGTAAATTACGTAATTTTGTTAAGTTATCTGTTCAGAATCGTGATCTGTTTGAAACAACGTCTCAATTTATCCAGAATCATGCAGCTCAAGTATAAATGAATAATGTGATATTTAATAAAACATAGCGTTCACCTTAAAGGTGGCAAATGCATCAGAAGCGATGTCAAATGTGGACATCTCCACGTAGCTGAAGAAATCTTTAAAGTGTTCAGAGTGGAGGACGATTTTGGCGAGAGGTTCATGCCGGATGCACTCGCGCAGCATAATCCCACAATTCAATGCCACCTGAGGAGTCTCATACCTGCCACGACATCACAGTAGAAACGTCACGTTCACACACACAAATTAATTCTCAACAGGGGCTGTGTTCAGGTGAATGGAGCTTGATTATTTCAGATCTACTTCATGTTGGCTGTTCTGATATTGATGCTGCATGCATCTATTTATGGCTAAAATGAATGGAGTGATGGAAGGAAAACTGCAACATTTGGAAGCCTATCCATGCAGGAAGTTTGTAAGTAACATGCTCACATGACGCATTTCAAAAATACCGATCACTTCTCACCCTTTGAGTAAGATGAAGAGGACTTCCTGATGAGAGCAGAAATATTCCACCGTTGGGCTGCGGGTGCCGATCTGCCTGCGCAGGATGTTGTTGAAGATCTGGCAAACGTCCTTTTTACCCTTTTTTTATTATTAGAATCATCAATAAAAAGAAAAGAGCAAAAAAAAAAATGTATGTTCAAACAACAATAGAGCAAAATAGATGATAGACATATGTGGATACCACAGACTGACCCCAAAAGTTTGACTGCTAGTGTGAATATAATACAATTATAATGTAACTATAAACTAGTGCTGGGCGGTATACCATTTCGTACCGAAAACCAGTGTATATTTCTGTTATGATATTAATTTTTAATATACCACCATACCGATGTATTTCATTCTCTGTGCCGCGCGACACTGTTTCAGGCGGACCCTTTAAAATGTTGCACATGTAATCATCGACTGCGAGGCGAGGCTGAGGTGCTCTGGTGTTACGTTACAGGGAAGATTGATGCTGCAGAACTATGGCGTTATTTTCCTGTCAAATATCGAGAGCACATTATTGTAGCGCGAAAGTACAATCATATAATGCGCGAGCGCGAATCTCTCTCAGATACACGTTGCTCTTGTAAGAATAGGGCTGAGTCCGAAATTGAATGCTTCCTTACTATATAGAATGCGAAAAACAGTAGGAGAGCAGAATAGTATGTCCGAAATCATAGAATTCGAAAAAAAGTATGCGAAAAGTACCAGGATGACCTACTACTTCCGGCGAGATTCTGAAGTGCGCATACGATGGACACTTTACTATCCCATGATGCCACAGGAGAGGAGTTGTTGTCGTTATATTTGAAAATGGTGGAACCCGGAGACGTTACCCGGCTGCACATAAAACGTGTTCAGTGCAATCGCGGATCTCTCCTCTTCCCCAGATAACAATTTTAGGTTATAAGAATGTTTTCATAACGTTCCCATTACGTTATAAAAACGCTATTTCTGAATGTTCAAGGAACATTCAAAGCGTCCGTTTTTTTAGACGTTGTATTAACGTTATTTCTTGGTTATAAGAACGTTATACGAACGTCATATAAACGTTGTATTTTAACGTTATTTCCTGGTTACAAGAATGTTAAGAAATAACAATTTTATTAAATGTGATGCGATCTGGGAAAAACCCGACGGATGTCGCGCTGGTACATTTTCAGTAAAGTCTAAATATAGATTGAATGTCAGTTTTTGTCAAAATTGTGTTTTTATTAAATTATTATTCTATAATATCTTGTTTATCATCTCTGAATATATCTTGGGAAAATTCCAGTCCTGGGTGAACTACAACAGCACGCAAGTTATTTATTTATTTATTTTTATCCAGCGTTATCGTGTGGTGTGATGCGGAGCACAACAGAGTTTGAAGCTGATCGTTTAAAAGATCTTGCTCACCTCTCAATCGTCCAATTTCAAAACCGTTTTCACAGGTTGAATTTTGAGTTCGTAAGCTTTCGAATGATACCTAATCTATGATGATTACTAAAATATGTGATATGAAAAAAAGGCAATAAAAAAGACGCTAGCAAGACGTGACCTGTTTTTCTCAAAATTCCGTTTCTGAAAATCATAGCGATCAGCCGACTTCCGGTAACCATAACTTTTGTTTTGTTATAGACAAACTATAAAAGAAATAAAAAAAGATTTGGAAAGGGCTTGAACTCAGCTTTAATATGGTCTCAAAGCCTGCAATGTCAAATTTCACCATGTGGTGGGTTTTCCCAGATCGCATAACAAATGCTTTGAACACCCGATCATGCATAAAAAAAAAACAAAAAAAAACGTCATAAACCGGAAAACCGGCTTGATTTCGAAGAAAAAAAAAAGTGATATAAAATTTTGGTCAAACCGCCCAGCACTAGTATAAATGTTAAGTTTTTTGTAGTGCTTTGTATTATAATGTCATTTATCGTCTTAAAACATCCTCACCTCAAAGTCGATGACCTGGAGGTTCTCCACCAGTGAGATGAGCAGGCCGCTGTTGTAGAGCTCTTGGGCCAGCTGGGCCACCGTCTCTGTGTGAGGCTCCTTATCGTTCGTGCCGTACAGGATCTCCTTCATCAGCACCAGACATTTCGACACCTCCTCTGAAGCCTGACAAACACACACAAAAATATACTGAACATATGTATGCAGACTGCAGAGCATATGGTATCAACGCCACATATTGCTCTGAACACCTAAAAGGATTCTGGGTAATTTCACATAACACAAAGAACATCATTAGCTATTTATCAGCTGCTGAAACAGCTCAGTTTGACAGTGTGGAGGCATGGTGAAGCGTATGGATTTTCCTCCAGCTGGAAGAATAACAATCAGCAGGATCCCAGCGCTTCAAACGCTTGACTTTAGCGTGAGGCTGCTGAAAAGGGCCTTAGCAGGCTGGTGAAAATGAGCAAGAGGTCTGGTAGTGGAGCGATATTCCCACCTCTGCGACATCTTTCTACTCTCAGCACCAATATGAGAGCTTCCAGGAAGAAATCCAGACTCTCGCTCATATGGGTCTCTGAAAATGGGGCTCAGAATGAGTAAATTGGGCGTCTTAATGACATTGAGATGGGTGGGCTAGTTTATCTGAACTAGCCTAATTCAACAAACCACTGCAAAAGCTCTTTTGGAAGAATAAAAGCTGTGTCTTTAAAAAGATAAGTGCAAATCTGCATGTTCACATTAGTCTGGTGCATATTACTCACAAAACTGCCGTTTCCATGTTACACTTCCCCTTTAACAGCAGATAATAAACAAAGTTGAGCAGACTTTATGCTAATATTCAAAAGCGTGGCTGAACACAGTCATAGTTATCAAAATGCATATGCTGTTCACTGCTGATCTAGTGCACTGATTTAAAACTCTTATTTGCCTGAGGACAAGCCCGTCTCTGAAAAAACAAATGAAAAATGCAAAAGCACAATGGAAAAATATCTGCAGTGGCAAGCAGCCTGATTTAGAGGATATAACCAATGATGTTATGGTTGAAAACAGGTATGATGTGTCTGAGGTTAAAGCTGTAGAGACCTAGGAAAACTTCAGTATCATCACTCAATAGTCAAGTTCATTATGCAATCATATGAGAGATCTGGAACAAGTGGGGTAGATAATGACATGGAATTAAATCCTGGGAAAAGAGTGGAAAAATAAGGGAGAGAAGAATTCTGACCGGTGGACCACCTAAACACAGAGTGGCAAATTCATTAAACCTTACAGTGACTTTTGTGCCAAGTAGGAGTAGTTCACTTTTAAAAAAACTTTTGCTGATAATTTACTCACCCCCATGTCATCCAAGATGTCCATGTCTTTCTTTCTTCAGTTGAAAAGAAATTAAGGTTTTTGATGAAAACATTCCAGGATTTTTCTCAAGTCATTTCGTTCATTCAATGAACGAATGAAATGAACTAAATGACTTGAAAAAAAGATTCGTTCATTTTGATGAACGAGTTCGAACAGGAGAGTCAGGAACGCATTACAAAACAGAGCAAAGCGTCCATTTGAGCTTATAATTTTTTTTTAAATCATATATTATATATATACGTATATATATATATATACAATTTTTTTTTTTAAATGAGCGATCGTTTCACTTCATAAGACCCTTATTCATCGTCTGGAATCGTTTAAAGCCCTTTGAACAGTTTGTACTGAAACTGTATTTTGGACCTTGAACCGTTTGGTTCCCATTGAAGTCCATTATAAGGAGAAAATCCTGGAATGTTTTCATCAAAAACCTTAATTTCTTTTCAAATGAAGAAAGAAAGACATGGACATCGTGGGTGACATGGGGGTGAGTAAATTATCAGCAAAAGTTTTTTTAAAAAGTGAACTACTCCTTTAAACAGGCACTAGATGGGACATTCTTTTTAGGATCAGGAGTGATGCTGTGCAGTCCCAGTAAAGTATGCCACATTGCAGCGATCCGTTGATTTGTGTTCATGAGTAACATTTTATCATTGACTACTATTTTGAAGAGTTGTGTAACGAACGTAATGTGTGGAGAACAAAAGTGAAAGAGTAAACAAGATGGATGAATTTTGTTACTCCCGTCTCGGTAACACTTTATTTCAGACTAACATGACACCTGATAGACACCAGCTTGGACGATGCTCCTCACCAACAGTGCTCAGCGCTTCTTCTTTTTCGCCATGTCTGCACTGTTACCCGATATAATGCCTATAGTCAGGTGATAAAAACCCCCAGAAACTGCCGGAAAAAGCTGTACAATGACTATACTACAAACTCGTACCTTCTCTGTCTTCTTGTCCTGTTTGACCAGGATGGAGAGGTTGTCCTTAAGGGTCTTCACAATTTCTGTGGGGTTCTTGTGAGATTTACCAAATAGCGGCATGGTAGCGGCCGTGGACTTCTAGCTGTAGAACAGGAAAAATAAAAAAAGTCAATGGCTTTGATGGCCCTCTTCAATTCTGACAACAAAACACTGAGACAGAAGACAAAGTCTAGCAAAAGGAGATAAAGGAGATAAAAGCCTGAAATATTTAAACGGGAAATTTGACAATTATCAAAACCAGCACACATACATACTGTTCTTGACTGAATGTATGTTTCTCATGATCCTCAACAATCTTGGGATCTAATGTTTGTTGAAATGACACAAGTCCCGAAAAAAATGCCACTTGAAAAAATAAAAATGATATACATTAAACTTTTGATGACTTGTATGAGTATGTTCCTCCTAGTAGTGCAAATGTTCCATTAAAGCCAGTGTTATTTTAGTATTATTTATATATTATTATTGCAAATAGTATATTTTATATTTATACTATTTAGATATTTTAATTATAGTTTAAGTTGTCATTTTGTAAAACTTTTTTTTTTTAAATACTTTTTTTGGAACATATTTATTTGGTTTTAGAGCAAGATATCAGAACAACAGACAATTTAGTCCGAAGAACAGATCTTTCCATTAAAGCTGGAAGTTTTTCATCTAATATTTACATTTTCTTTTTTAATCTTTTTTTTATTACATTTCTTAAATTCTTAACACCGATTTAAAAGCATTTACATGTCACTAAAATCAAAATAATTAAGAAAAGTTATAGGGCTGTCAAACGATTAATCGCGATTAATCACATCCAAAATAAAAGTTTGTGTTTACATAATATATGTGGGGGCACTGTGTATAATTATTTTGTGTGTGTATATATATATATATATATATATATATATATATATATATATAAAAAATACACACATGCATGTATATTTAAGAAAAAAATATTATTTATGTATAAAATATTGATATTTATATATAATATTAATTATATATAAATCTATATAAAGTATATACATGAAAATATTTCAAATATATACAAGCATGTGTGTTTATATATATATATATATATATATATATATAAAATAATTAAACACAGTGCACCCATATATTATGTAAAGAAAAACTTTTATTTTGGATGCGATTAATCGTGATTAATTGCGATTAATCGTTTGACTTCCCTAAACCGTTATGATCTGAAACTCCACTTCAGTCTGTCAGTAAGTAGCTTCAATTATCATGTAAATTAAAGACAAATACACCCTTCATTGTTCCAGCCTTGAACAAACATGTACTTTAAACTAAACTAAATGATTACTATTAATTCGATTCAATGAATCTGTTCACAGCGGAAACAAACGCATTCGACAGGGTTGACAGCAGAATGTGATGTGAGAGGAACAATTATAATGAGGGGAATATTCACTGTTTTTCCGAGAGAACTAAGTGAAACTTGTGACTGGTAATCCTGTGATCTAAGAACCTAAGGTGTGTGTGTGTGTGGGAGAGAGAGAGAGAGAGAGAGAGAGAGAGTCCAAGAGTTAAAAACTTCCTGTTCCTTCACCTGTCAGCAGCTGATCTTTGAACAGATTCTCTTTATATTACCGCTGCGTTCATTCAATATACATCTTACAATATTAACACCCGACCTTATGACAGATTAATGATTACATAAAGTACATATAGTTTGATAGTCCCTCCTTTAGAGGATTCTTTAAAGAAAATATTCAATCGTTTTTTGAATACCGATCATACTAGCACACTCCACAATCTAGGTGTGGGAATAACTTGCAATAATTCACTATGTAAACACTGAAAGCAATAAAACCAACACCTGATTCACGTCAGTAATGAAGTCATAAGTCGTACTCAATCTCCAGAAACACATACCACCCTCATCTTCCCGCGTTTACTATCACAATACCACCTTAACCATCAAAAGGCCCATTGCAGAGGAATGTCACATGACCACATTTATCTAACAGTGAGTGAACAGGTCCTCTGTTTGCTGTGTGACAGTTTTAGGAATTTGATAGTCCTCGGCAAAGAAAAAAGTAAGCGCTCCTTTGTTTACTATCTGTAAATACCACCTTAAACACCCTAGCGCCACAACATTAGAAAATAAAACATGAAATGGAAGGATTTAGTCTGAAGCACTGGACCTAGCCTAGATAAATGAGAGATGAGAAACCAGTTTGAATTACTACCAAGGAATTGAGCACCAAACAACAACAGAATCCCTAAATATATATATATATATATATATATATATATATATATATATTTATATGCTGAATAAGCTTTTTGTGACCAAAAACTGAAAATTGTGCTTACAGATTCATTTATATTACCGAAAAATATTTGGAAACAGGGTTGAGCTTTAACACTAAAGTCAAGATTTAAGAAAAAAACATATAGCATTACTTCCCGATATTATGAAGAAAATACTCAAATGATGTCACTCCTTGGGTGTGACAATTTTAGGGAATGTGTCACTTTAGAAAAGAAATTTAAAAGAAATCATAATAAATAGATAAAAACATTATGCTGTATCAGGGTTGTTTAAAATAGGTGGGACACAGCTAAACATGTAGGTCATTAAAATTATTAGTTTTTAATATATAACAGTTATATTAAAAAATAATAAAATTAATTTACAATGAGTTGTATTCAACATTTGTATCAATAAATTATGTCGTTCATTTTGACATTGTTGTAATAGTTCTCCAAAATAAAATATACATTATCATTGGACTGCACATAACATAAAAAAATAAATAAAAAATAATACAAAAACAACGCTAAATGTGTGCCATTTCACCGTCAGGCGTCAAATTTGAGTGACAGAATTTCCATCAGGACTGTAGGGGAGCATCTGACAGATTTGATACTGGTGTCGTGCTAAAATGCATGTTGAAGTGAGTGAGCAGGCCCTCCAGTGCATGATCTGCCTGTGTGAGAAGGCCTTGCAGTGGTGTGATCTGTTGTTTCAGGCCTGTTCACCCAATTCAACACAAACAGCAGCAGAATTACAGCGTGACACTGAGCGAGCCACTCGTTACAATGCAACACATTGCGAATATAACGTTACAGTCGAACAGAACGACAGACGGTCACAGTAACAATGAAGCAGACCAGGCGCTCGAGCTCAAACACTCACACACACACTCAGTTTGTCAACCATGTTACCAAAAACAAGCCCGACATGCGGAAAATTGGGCGTACGTTTAGCTTATTCTCTTGCGACACCAAAATAAAGGCACACCGCAGTAGCCTGAGAGCTTATGTTGGTGTTCGACGTTATATGATATGTAGCCATTATTTCGATATCGCGTTTGTAATGTTGAATACTTACAGTGCTGTGATGTAATTGTGTCTTCTGCGGCTGCTGTGGTTCCTGTGTGTGTTCGCGAGCAGCCGTCCTGATCACGCCAGCAGCAGCAGCAGACTGTGTGTGTGTGAGAGAGAGAGCGCGCACGCGCTGGGCTAAACGTCAGAGGAAAGTGTGTATTAGCGAATTAAACACTGACTGAGACTCAAATGCGTATATCTGCAGAAGACATGATGGGTTTGTAACACAAACTCCCTGTCTCGGTGCCTTTCCGCGGTTGAAAAATGATCTGGGATCGGTTCTGTGACCGCCAGTGGCAGTTTTGCCTGTGACGTATGAGCTGATCTCAGATCAGAATGCTGAAAGCCGTCCTCCCGCACTGAGGCGAGGCGTCGTGTTACCCGGATGTGGATGTGTTCAGACTGTATTATGAAGAGATATACTGACTAAAATAAGTGCATGACTCATGATTTTGAATCACGACGTTTTATACTAGTATCGCGTCATAAACCTGCGTGAACTATTGATCGACACTGTCATAGCCAAAGTCTGCGTGTGCACAGTGTGTTACTTAAGCAGAAACTCTGAGTCACTTTGGCTGGTTCATAAAAATCTGTGCAATTCATAAAGGTTAAATTGAAACTAAATCTATTTTTTGAGGGAAAATGTTATACTAACAATGTGGGTTTCAAATACTCTTGGATAAGATTAATTTTCCTCAGATTTTAGTAATATTTCCTATGTGCAAATGTTTTTTCTTGGAGTGTTTAACTTTAGGTTTTCTTAAAATTTAGATTTAAAAAAATTCTAAAATAGACTTAAATGGCAAGTTTTGGCACTATTATTTTACTTAGAGGATTAGGCTATTCACAGAAAAAATGAAAATTATGTCATCATTTACTCACACTCATGTTGTTTTTGACCTGAATGAGTTTCTTTCTCCTGGTGTACGCAAAAGAAATCTGGTTACAAACATTCTTCAGAATATTTTATTTTGTGTTCAGCAGAAGAAATTTTCATTTTTGGCTGAACTCTCTATTAATATTTATAAATCAAATTTAATTGAAAATGAAATTCTAGCATAAAAGTTCCCACCATTGTCTTTCATTATCAGAAACCAGATTTTCATGTTTTTCAAAATTCTGTTAAATGATTATTATTAAGAGAAATTGTTTAATTTTATAGTCTTAACATTAGCTGTTATTATTTCTAAATCCAGTTTTATAAATAAAATTATATCACTAAAAGGATAACCATTCATCTTTTATTATGAAACAGATTTAAAATGTTGCTACAGTGTAAAACAAAGTCGCTGTTTTGAAACTAATTTCCACTTAAATTACATTAAACTACATTAAACTACTTACATTATTAGTAGAATCTTGTATAACATTAAAGTTGACAATTGCTTAACTTGTTTTGAGTTAAAGCAATGCAAAAATCTATTTACTTCTATTTAATCACGTATTTTAAGCGTAAATTAAGGTGGAAAATATTTGATGGTCTTACTATTTAAAATCAAGTTTTAAAAAGAAAATTCTTTATAAAATTCATTTTTTAATAAATTCTGATGGTATTTCTATTATCAAGAGAAATGTTTATTTCAGTCTTGATATTAGCTCTTAATATTTATAAATCAAGTTACAATCTCAAAAGTTTCAGCATTCACTGTCATGAATTAAAAAGATCTAACAATAATAAATCGTTAAGTAACATTTATTTGCAAAATTATAAAATTATTTGTGCACAATGAAAACGCTGATGCATCTCAGATCGACTTCATATATACACTCAATATTGCCTTGACAAATCCAAGCCAACAGAAGAGGACAGAATGTTTCAATGAAGTTTATTTCTGCCTAAGCACTTTAAATTCATTCATCTCATACAACCTCTTAGATACATATTTACACATGTACATCGATACGAGCCTAATAGAGGAAAATATTTTATGTCAAATGAGAACATGATAAAACTAGCATGAGATAAAACTAACATGCAGCAATGTGCCACATAAAATTGAAATAGATATTAACAATGATCTCTGTATTGCTGAACACGTTAAAACAAAGACAGTGTGTACAGTTCTGGGCGGAAACGATGTGGGATTCATCCGTGATTGAATCAGCCGTCAGGATTATAGATGAACTTTGACAAGTTAAGTAATACTTTTTGACCTTTAAAAACAAGACTGTAAAAAATAATGCGGTAAAAAACGGTAAACTACTGGCAGCTGTGGTTGCCAGCATCATACCGTACAAATACGGTGTGTTACTGTTTTTGAAATTAACAGCTAACAATAATTAACCGTATTACAATTGAACAGCTATATTCTCTAACACAAAAACAGTAACACACCTTATAGTTACAGTATGCTCCCAGTAGTTTACCGAGTACTATTTTTTTACAGCGAACTTGAGTGACACGCCAATTATCACGTTCCAGACTACATTTTGAACCAATCAAATTAAAACAACATGTGGTGACGTAAAAATAAAACGTAAATACAGTTGATATGTTGTTACTGGAAAATTGTAGAACAGTAAAGTGACATACAAGAAAATACAATTCATTGACACACAACAATAGTGGTCATAATATACAATATGTATATATATATATATACTGTTTTAAAGAAAAACATGAGATAAAAGTTAATATCTGTACAAATCTTTTACAGGAAATAATTTAAACTATACAGCCGTTTTAGATTAACACATACAGTGAACTGGACTTTTCACCAGGCATAACCTCCAGAATCTTTATCGTATAAAACAACGTTTCATTGTCTTGCTGCTACAGCAAATCAGACACTGACATTCTCAAAGCAAGATCAATAAAACCAGTGGAAGCTCATGTGAGAGTCCTTGTTATGGATATTTAAAGACTTTTAGACCGCAGGCTACTCGACCAAAACCCCTTTTTCTCTTTGAGGAAAGTCATGCAGATGCGAAACGAACAGCATCACACGATAAGTAAATGAGAATGTGAATGGGAACAGTAGACATTTCTCTCTCTCTTATGAAGGAGAGACGGATGAGAAAGGGTGACGCTCTATATAAAGTATCCTGAATAGGCGAGGTCGATTCCTTTCTCGGTTGAGGAGGTTAGATACAGTACAAAGCCTCGAGGAGCTTCAGTAGAAAGTGCACTGTGTAGGAGCTGCCACAAGACGCCGGAGCAGCGCGCTTCAGGTTTTGATGTCAGAGAAGCTCGTGTAGGTTTCGCTGCAGCTGGACGACGTGCTGAGGTTTCCAGACCCACTGCCTTCTGTGGGGAAAACATGCACACATTAGCTAAATTCAGAAAATCTGACGGGGATTTATTGTGTGGTGGATGGAAAGCAGGGAAAGGAAGCTGCGTTACCTGAGCTGGAGAGAGATTGAGAAGATTTGGATTGTCTGATGAGAGTGAGCAAGTTTGCAGCAGGGACCCAGCCCTCCTTATTGGTCCGCAGATTACGCACAAACCTAAAAAAAACCCCCAAAATAATCAGAAATCAATATCACGTCATACTCTGCTGTTAGCGATTCTAATTTGGTCATCTTTAGAAACATCAAAACGAGTCCAAATAATAATCCATCACTCAAAATGCCAAAATGGAACTAGATTATTTTAAATATGTGGGCACAAAAACAGTCCTGAGGTAATCATACCCGTCATCACTCCTGTTTTTCCCGAGTTTCTCACGTTTTTTAAGCCCTATCTCCCGGACCCTTCCCGCTTTGTTATTTCTCCTGGGAAACTCACGTAATTCGCATGGCCCAAACTCCTTTATGAATAATCGGACCATGTTGACCAGTTGCCAGATCTTGTATTAAATGCATTATATCAGTGTTGTAGTACTCGAGACTCGGACTCGTCTCGGACTCGAGACCATATTTTAATGGTCTTGGTCTTGTCATGGACTCGTGTCCATTTGGACTCGGAATTGACTCGTACTCGAACATTTTTTTTTAGGACTCGGAATTATTCCCGAGTCCACTCGAGTTCAATTAAAAATATTTTTCATGATTATTAATGTATGTTAATAAAATATTTCTTTAAATTGATTGACACGCCCAGTGATTGGTGATTTTCTAGTGCGAAATTGCGCATGACAAATTGTAATAAAATTACTTTTAACACCACCTACTATGTGGCCTTTTTACCCTAAACTGATCATATTTTTTAAACTCTAAGTAAATTCAGTAAAATAATAAAAAAAGGATTTCTCTAAGTAAATAAAAGTAAATTAGGTAATCAACCCTCACTGGTCTCGGTCTCGACTCGGACTCGACCGTCTCTGGTCTCGGACTCGACTCGGACTCGACCGTCTCTGGTCTCGGACTCGACTCTCTATGGACTCGGTCTTGACTCGGACTCGACTCTCTCTGGTCTCGGTGTCGACTCGGACTCGAGTGAGGTGGTCTCGACTACAACACTGCATTATATTTACACAATCCACAGACCATATACAATTTCAACCCTTTTGTCATCTCAACCTGGCAACCTATACCCCATTTGCACAGTCGCAGAAAGCTCAACCCGAAAACGAGCAACACCTAATATTTTACAATATTCTATTAAGCCTATAAAAATTAGGAGCATGTTACGATGTGCATTATTAACTGCTTTACTTATACATATTGTGCATTTATAGCAGTGCTTCTCAACCGGAGCCCACTAGGGGGCCTCTGCAAACTTTCAAGGGTGCTGCAGGATGTCTTAAAAGTATTTGAATTAATATATTATTTTTAGTATATGAAAATAATACAAGTATGTAACCTAAATACAATGCTAAAAGCAAAAAATTAAATGAAATCTTTTTATTTTCCCTTAATTATTGTTTGTACTGAAGAACATACAGCTCTGGAATACAGAACGTAACATCTTGAATCATGGTTAATTCATTCAGTGTGTTAAAATAATTAACCACGTTAATATATCAATAAAATGTTTGAAAACAAGCAGGTTTGTCAAAATACGAGAATTATCTAGTAAATATTGTGTTACGACTTTTTATCTCAGAATTGCGTGATTATAAAGTCAGAATTAAACTCGCAATTCTGACTTTATAACGCAATAGCAACTTTATATCACGCAATTTTGAGAAATAAAGTCAGAATTGCGAGATGTAAACTCGCAATTGTGAGATAAAAAAAAGACACAATTATCTTTTAAAATGTTTTATTCAGTGGCGGAAACAAGCTTCCATAAACATTTGATGAAAAAAAATCAATGTCAATTTCAAATTTCCGTTTAGTTTAAGTTGAAGCACAAAACTGAAATAAAAATAAATTAAACCTAATAAGTAATATATAAATAAAAAAATTAAACTATAATACAAATTAAACTAAATTTTAAATTAAAAACAAAAGCTAACCTAAAGGTGCAGTGTGTGAGTTTTAGCGGCATCTAGTGGTGAGGTTACGAATCGCAACCAACAAAAGTTACGACGTCGTCGTCTGAGACAGCAGGGAGCAGCTAGTTAAGCAATGAGGTTTCTTTACAAAGATAAATTAAGAAATGATGTTTACTTTATTAAATAGTAAAACGATGTTATTGCGAATATTATTGTTACTTGTTCATCATTGTGTCAGTGTTTTATTCGCTGACTTTAGCTAGCTTCTTTGCACGAAGAACAACATAGTGACGAAACGTGCTCTAGTAGTTTGTCCGTTTAGGGCCACCGTAGAAACATGTCGGCATTTTAGTACAGTAAGGGGACCCATGGTGTATGCTGATAGAAATCTCTTATTCCAAGGCAATAAAACATAACGGTTCATTATGTAAGGTTTTATACGCCACTAAAAACATAGTTATGTATATAATATTGCATTTCTTGCATTAAATATTACACAATGCACCTTTAAAATGCTATATTAGTTAGATAAACCTACAACGGCAATAATTCTTTAGATTTGGAATTTATTTCAATTGGTTGATTCAACAGAATAAAAGATCCATTGAATATTGTTGATATAACGATTAACGTATGGGTCATAACGTGAAACATGAGGATGAGTAAATGATGACCATGATCCTGAATGCGTGAATCTTACCAGCGTCCGTCGTCTCCCTCTCTCACCAGCTCCACCGTGTCCCCGCTCTTCACCGTCAGCTCCTGAGGTCCGCTTTTCTCGTGGTCAGCTACTACCACGTACCTGCCGGGAGACTAATGCAACAAACAAACACGACACCATCAGCGCTCAAACAAACATAGCAGGACACTAGGAATCATGCAGCAAAGAGTTCCTCCAGAGACTCACCAGCTTCTTCCCTCCCTCATCCTCAGGGTCAGAGTTCATGGGGTCTTCGGCGCTCGAGTAACCGTCGTTCTCCTCGGACGCATCCATGGACAGCGACACCTTGGTGAAGCCTTGTGGAAGAGAGGACGGGTGAAACCAATGTGACATATGGATCACATTAAAATGAGTAGTTCACTTTTTAAAAAAAAAACTTTTGCTGATAATTTACTCACCCCCATGTCATCCAAGATGTCCATGTCTTTCTTTCTTCAGTCAAAAAGAAATTAAGGTTTTTGATGAAAACATTCCAGGATTTTTCTCCATATAATGGACTTCAATGGGAACCAAACGGTTCAAGGCCCAAAAGACAGTTTCAGTGCAAACTGTTCAAAGGGCTTTAAACGATTCCAGACGATGAATAAGGGTCTCATCAAGCAAACGATCGCTCATTAAAAAAACAAAAAACAAAGCTTAAGTTTTATAAGCTCAAATGGTCGCCTTGCTCTGTTCTGTGATGTACGTTCGTGACTCTCCTGTTCGAACTCGTTCATCAAAATGAACAAATCTTTTTTCGTGTCATTTGGTTCATTCAACGAACGAAATGAACGAGTTGACTCGGGAAAAGATTCGTTCATTTTAATGAACGAGTTTGAATAGGAGAGTCACGAATGCGCATCACACCCTGACCCTATCAAAGCAAGGTGACCATTTGAGCTTAAAACTTAAACTTTGTTTAAAAGGGAGCGATTGTTTCGCTTGATAAGACCCTTATTCATCGTCTGGAATCATTTAAAGTCCTTTGAACAGTTTGCATTTTGCACTGAAACTGTCTTTTGGACCTTGAACCGTTTGGTTCCCATTGAAGTCCATTATATGGAGAAAAATCCTGGAATGTTTAAATCAAAAACCTTAATTTCTTTTCGACTGAAGAATGACATGGATATCTTGGATGACATGGGGGTGAGTAAGTTATCAGCAAAGGCATTTTTTAAAGTGAACTACTCCTTTAAGACATCGAAAGAGGGATAAATGGTGCTCCACATAGATGGTGTGTGGAAGATGAAGAAGATGAGACTGGCTCGGTTTCAAAACGTAGTTAGCTCGCCTCGAAGGGTCCTAGATAAGACCCTTATTCATCGTCTGGTGTCGTTTAAAGCCCTTTGAAGCTGCACTGAAACTGTCTTTTGGACCTTGAACCGTTTGGTTCCCAATGAAGTCCATTATATGGAGAAAATCCTGAAATGTTTTCATCAAAAACCTTAATTTCTTTTTGACTGAAGAAAGAAAGACATGGATGACATGGGGCTGATTAAATTATCAGCGAAAGTGAAAAAAATATATAAGTGAAAAAAAAGTGCATGTGATGCCGTTCTGAAACGGAGCCAGAGCCTCTTTATCTCATAATCCATTTAAAAAGAGGAACAGGTCCAGGCACTGAGCTAGCAGCTGTTTGTGTTTTATGTTCAGATTATGACTGTGAAGGCGGCATATGACACATTCGCAAATCATTCAAAACATGTTTATGGAGAGATGCATAAACATTTTACATCTGAATCAGTGGATAATCGTGGAGCCCGGAAGAGTGTTTGGTAGAAACGGATCTGTGGTTTCAGAATTGTAAAAGTGAATCCAGAACTAGCACCGCAAACCAGCAGACAGGAACCCAAACCAGACACTCATGCAGCGTTAGACTCGAGTGTTTCCACACCAAGGGAAGTGCACGCCGATTTTCTTAATCTTTTGGCTTATAAAATGTACTATTTTAAAGGATTCCAGTAAATCGACAGTAAACACACAGTATTTAAAAGGAATAGTTCAACCAGAAATGAAAATTTGGTCATCATTTACTCACCCTCATGTCGCTCCAAACCTGTTTGGCTTTTTGTTTTGTGGAATACACAAAGGTGGCCAAAAGTATAAATATAGGCAATATGTCAAAATCTTACGAAATCATTTGACAGCTTTGTCTGAAGAACAAATCGAAAACTACTTATTCATGAGAGAAATACTGTAGTTAGTCTAATTTGTGAATGAATCATTCTTTTAATTCTTTTCAGTGAAGTAACTGATTTGGTTCACAAACCAGTGAACGATTCATTGAAATGATTCATTCAACCAGAAATGATTCATTCGTGAATCAGACTGAACTGGTTCTCACTGAATCAAAGAATCAACCGAATCATTCAATGTAAATGCAAGGAAAACATCAACCGGTAAATTGTGAAACGATTCTTCTTTTTGTGTTCCACAGAAGCCGTACAGGTTTGAAATGACTAGTGTAAGTAAATAATGATGATGATTCAATTTCAGTGGATTCATATGTTTAAAAGCGAGTAGGGTAAATAGAAAGAGATTATCTGATCATTTTTCTCTCTCCTGTTATACAGTATGAACTGGGCTGGATTCACATTCTCCCACGGTAAAGAGCATTTTAGATTTACAATAGTAATTTATTGAGCAGTTATATAAGAGATGCCATTTAGCACTGTGATTTATCCTGCAAACCACCAATTACAGTGCAATAATATCATACCCTGTGGTTAGTGTTTGCCAGTCTGTTGTGAGAGAGCAATAAAGACGATAAAGTTCATTCCCACACCAGGCACATCTAGTTACCTCTCCTTTTAGTCTGCAACAGACTAGAAGTGCTCATCCACCTCACTCGGGTAAGAGAGATGTGTGGACCTGCGTCTAAGGGAGAGGCAGCCGATGAGATTTCAAAGGTTTCCCGAACACCACAGATGGCTTTTGTTGGTGGGGTATGCAGAACTAAAGTCAGTTTGTTTGGATTGTGAATGCCTGACACCTAATATAGAAGCGTTTTAGTTTATTACAACTTCAGGCTGATGTATGAAAGATGGAAACCACATAATATGATAAAACAAAGGCTTGGGAGCACAGGACACTGGTCATGGCTGATGTTGGAGGAGGGAATGCTGGGAGTTTTTATGGGACAGTGTACCTCTGAAGCCAAACGGTGTAGGATCACTCTTAATCTCATGTCTTTTAGTTTTGTGATCAGGACTAGGGGGGGATGATCCTGGCAGCCAAAGCAAGGAGCGAGAAAGGAGAAAGAAAAGGATAAGAGGACAAATTTTCAGGAAAGAAGAAAGAGAAAGCCTATAACAGGGTTAAAGGAACGATTCTTAAATATTATGAAGACAGATTTGGCTGTTCTACAGGGTGAGAGCCTCTAAAGTAGCATGCACACTAAAGTCTTACACTGTGCCCTAACAATTTGCGGTGTGACAAAACAACATCTGAAGATTAAAGATGCTTTTTTTTCCCCCAGTTTTGAGCTGGTTAGCTCTGTTATAGTGAAGCCAGGAAAATGTTATCGGTTCAAAATCCCATAAAATAAAATAAACATAGCATTTTCAGTTTGGACTGCATAATACGTACTGTTTGTGGACAAATTCTTATAAATAAATTAAAACATTTAAAATCGCAGAGAATGTTCAGTTTAGGTGTGGACAAATTCTTATGAATAAATAAAAAAAATAAATAAAAAATAAAAAAAAATAAAATAAAAAAAAAAATCGCAAAAACTTTTTAGTTTAGGTGTGGACAAATTCTTATGAATAAATTAAAAAATTTAAAATCGCAAAGAATTTTCAGTTTAGGTGTGGACAAATTTTTATGAATAAATTAAAAAATGTAGAAATCGCAAAAAAATTCCAGTTTAGGTGTGGACAAATTTTTATAGATAAATTTAAAAATGTAAAAATCACAACAAATTTTCAGTTTAGGTGTGGACAAATTAAAAATAAATTAAAATATTTAAAATCGCAAAGAATTTTCAGTTTAGGTGTGGACAAATTTTTATAAATAAATAAAAAAATGTAAAAATCGCAAATAATTTTCAGTTTAGGTGTGGACAAATTCTTATAAATAAATAAAAAAAAAAAAAAAAAAAAAAAAAAAAAATCGCAAAGAATTTTCAGTTTAGGTGTGGACGAATTCTTATGAATAAATTAAAAAATTTAAATCGCAAGGAATTTTTAGTTTAGGTGTGGACAAATCCTTTCACACATGGTTGAAACCAGGGAATGAAAAAAAAAAATACAATTCGGTTTAGTATTATTTTTACTGGAAATAAGGTTGTATCATGCCTAGGGTAGGGTTTAGGCCCTACCAGTGAACTCAAGGAAATGTAACTGGTCAAAAAAAAAAATAGTATTAATAATAATAAAATAAAGTCAAATTTGATTATTTTTAGGAACAAGAATTTGTCCACAACAAAAATTTGTATCACACCTGGTTTATTCCCGAACAGTGAACCCAGGGAAATGTAACTGGTCCAAAAAAAAAAAAGAAAAAAAAGAAAGAAAGAAAGAAATAAAATAAATTGGTTTTGGTGTGGACAAATAATATTTCATGGAAACAAGTTGTGTCACAGCTGGTTAAGGCACAGTAAAGAGCATTTAAGTAATGATAGCTCTAAATTCTAATGTTACCAAGCTTGAACTCTGACGTTAAACTGCTGCTAATCTAGACTCTGGTCTCTAGTGTATCCTGAGACTGTAGTGTACCTGGAGGGCAGAGAGTGATGGCCATTGGAAGTGAGAGGCTTTTGCCACCAGAGGCTGCTATAAACTCTGCAGTGAGGTTCAAGTCAAAGCTTAGTACTTATTCCAGGTTCAATATTTCACATTTATCCAACATCACTAAACTATTTGTTTTCAAATGTATCATAAATAACGTTTAATGACATTATTAACTAAGAAGTTTCTGCTAAACATGCTTTTGTCATAATGATTTTCAGAAATGTTTTATCAATATGCAGTGACCCTGTTGTAAATGTATTGCCCATGACCGTGTAAAGTTGTGAGCCCTCCTGCTGTACCTTTTTGGCTCTTGAGGTTACTGAAGCCCTGCAGTGTAAAGCGTTTTTTAGCCACTGCAGCTCTCTCAGAGTTGGGACTGGTGACAGTCTCGTCTATTCTCCACAGAGACAGAGAGAAAGAAAGAGGAGGGGGAAATAATCAAGGCCGTTACAGGTTTAGTCAGAAAATTTAAAAACTAGGAAACAAAGAAAACACCAGGGGTCACAAAGAAACTGATCACAGAAATTCACAGTCTAAGCAGCAAGAGGAAAGACAGCAGCATGAATTGTGGGATAGATTTAGGGAAACGTCAGTCTGGGGTTAGTTTCATGGATTCATTGACTGACTGATTTTAAATATGTCTTGTGTAATATCTGAAAAAACGACCTTTGAAAATGCTTACACACAGACGCGGTGTCCGAAATCGAATACTTCCCTACTGTATTGTATGTGAAAAACGATCCGCCAAAAAGTAGTATTTCCGAATGCATAATATTAAAAAAAACAGTAAGTGAAAAGTCCACAGATGACTACTGTACTACTTCCGCTAAGATTCATGAAGTGTGCATTCAATGGACACATTACTATCCCGTAAGGGATATACACTCACCTAAAGGATTATTAGGAACACCTGTTCACTTTCTCATTATTGCATTTATCAGTCCCTCCAGGATTTCACGATTTTTTTTTGTGATTTTTGCGATCAAAATGACTGATTTTGTGGTGGTAATTTCCAAAAATTTGTGAAAAAATTTGCGATTTATATATAACATATACCATAATAGTATTCAGTCCTTCCAGAAAACCGCAGTTTTTTTTTTTTTTTTTTTTTTTTGCGGGCAAAAATTTATTACGTGGCCCGTTTTCTTTAAAAATGCGATGGAATATGTGGGATATTTATGCAATTTCATGCGATGAAATTGCAGGAATTTGCACAAATTGAGGGAACTTGCAAAAATTGCGGTTTGATGAAAAAGAGAAAAAAAGTGATTCCCCCCCTGTTCTCACTAGGCTATTGTAAGAGTCATTTCTTATTACTTCCTTTGATAAGCAAGCATACTACATCATAGAAAGTGCTGGGAATATTTAATTTCTCATCTTGTTTAATTTCAGACTGTAATGAGTGTAAATAAGGTGTGGCCCCTTTAAGAGCTGCACGCTCCCTGCAGTGATACGTGCGCCTCAAACACCCCATGTGTGCGGGTAATTTCTGTTTGATGCTACTTCTTTTATCTTATGTTGTTTATTAAGTAACGATGTGACGGTAGAACGTGTGACAGACAGTTATACGAGTTTGATTTGTGAGATGTCAATCGCCTCCGTGAGTCTGTCTGGCGTCGCGTAATTGCGTCACTTCCTAACGTTCCCATGGAAACAGGGGGAAATGGCTGCTCTTGTGTGAAGCAAACACAACATTTTTCAACTTTCTGCTAAGATACATGTGACTTTTTTTGCAACGAAAATGCGAGGATTATGAAATTATGCAAACCCCGCATATTTTGCACGGAAATCGGCAATTTATGCGGCGAAAGTGCGGCGTATTTGAAAAAATGCGGCCCCCGCATAAATATGCGGACTTTGGCTGATTTTGCATTGAATTCAGCGATCGCATAATCGCGTTTTTCTGGAGGGACTGATTTATCTAATCAACCAATCACATGGCAGTTGCTTCAATGTTTTTAGGGGTGTGGTCCTGGTCAAGACAATCTCCTGAACTCCAAACTGAATGTCAGAATGGGAAAGAAAGGTGATTTAAGCAATTTTGAGGTTAAAAACAGTATAAGTATGGTGTTTCTAATAATCCTTTAGGTGAGTGTATAACGGTAAGTGAAATGACGCGACTGACACCGGTAGGTCACGTGACGGTAACAACATGGCGGATGTAGACCCATATTCATAATATACAGAGCATACTTTAATGGTCACAGAGTAAATTCAAATCTAGTAACAGACAGTACGCGATTTCGATTTTCTTGTTTATGTTGTGCATGTTGAGAAGGGCTGACTGACCTTTGACCTTGTCGTTATTTTTGAGTAAGGCAGGATTACTGGGATCTGCTGCTGTGGGCTCAGGTTTCTTGTCTTCTCCTTTCTTGAGGCTCTTTGGGTTGGTCTTGAAGGGGCTCAGGGTTAGACTGCTGCTGGTGGGAGTTAGCTGATCTGAGCTCTTCTGCTGCCTCGCCTCTGAAACACAACATCACAACAGTATTAGACGACTACAGACATAACGTGATGGTTACGTGAAGTGTGTCATTTCTATATACTCTACCGTTTAAAATGTTGGGGTCGGTATGATGTTGGTAATGTTCTCTTATGCTCACCAAAGCTGCATTTATTTGATCAAAAATACAGTAAAATTGTGAAATATTACAATTTAAAATAATCGGTTTCTATGTGAATATATTTGAAAGTCTAATTTATTCCTGTGATGCAAAGCTGAATTTTCAGCATCATTACTCCAGACTTCAGTGTCACATGATCCTTAAGAAATCTGATTTGCTGCTCAAGAAACATTTCTTATAATTATTTGTATGTTGAAATTCTAACAATTGTGCCGCTTAATATTTTTCAGGATTTGTTGATGAATAGAGGGTTTACTTGGAATAGAAATTTTGGTAACATTATAATTGTCACTTACAGTAGTTCACTTTAAAAAAAAAAAAAAAAAAAAAAAAACTCACCCCCATGTCATCCAAGATGTCCATGTCTTTCTTTCTTCAGTCGAAAAGAAATTAAGGTTTTTGATGAAAACATTCCAGGATTTTTCTCCATATAATGGACTTCAATGGGAACCAAACGGTTCAAGGTCCAAAAGACAGTTTCAGTGCAAACTGTTCAAAGGGCTTTAAACGACACCAGACAATGAATAAGGGTCTCATCAAGCGAAACGATCGCTTTGTATTTATTATTTAATAAATAAATAAATTACAAAGTTTAAGTTTTATAAGCTCAAATGGTCGCCTTGCTCTGTTCTGTGATGCACGTTCGTGACTCTCCTATTCGAACTTCGAATCTTTTCCAGAGTCAACTCGTTCACTTTGTTCGTTGAATGAACCAAAAGACACGAAAAAAGATTCATTCATTATGATGAACGAGTTCGAACAGTTGAGTCACAAACGCGCATCACAGAGCTTTGAGCTTATAAAACTTAAACTTTGTCATTTTTATTTTTTAAATGGTAGATCTTTTCTCTTGATGAAACCCTTATTCATCATCTGCAATCGTTTAAAGCCCTTTGAACAGTCTTCACTGAAACTGTCTTTTGGAACTTGAACCGTTTGGTTCCCATTGAAGTCCATTATATGGAGAAAAATGCTGGAATGTTTTCATCAAAAACCTTAAATTCTTTTCGACTGAAGAAAGAAAGACATGGACATCTTGGATGACATGGGAGTGAGTAAATTAGCAGCAAAAGTTTTTTTTTTAAAGTGAACTACTCCTTTAATTGTCACTAATTGTCACTTTTGATCAAATTAATGTGTCCTTGCTAAATAATAAAAAGAAAGAGTAAGGCACGGTGTCTCTCACCTCTGCAAGCCTTTAGTTGCCCCGTCAGAACCTTCCGGATCTCATTCACCCATGCCGTTTTGATTTCTGGTGTCGCCGCCTGAAAATAAACAATACGATGACCAGAAAGGTGAGTGACAGGATTATAGATGAGATTATGTACATTCAACGCTATTTAAATAGACATAGGATATTTTTACAAGGACAAAGAGTTTACCTGTACTATATACACCTCCTCTCGAGAATTACACCAGATCTCAAACTTTTTGTTGTCTCCTTTTGCATTCTCAGTAATGCCAACAGCGCTCATCTATCAGAGAAGATATGAACATAATCAGTCTCATACAGAAATCTTTATTTACACAAGACAAAACACAAATTAAACATGCAGATCACATGAGCATTTCTTTTTCTTGGTTCGACTACACTAAAAATGATGAATCTTCCCTTGATATGCCCACATCGACCGACTGATTTCCATGTCAGAGAAATGATAAATGAGAACAAACTACTTTAATATTCCGGACTTACGTTGAGTGAGTGTTTAAAGCTGTATGACGGGGCTTTCTCATAACCTTCTCCGTTCTCCTCTCGTTTCTTACAGAAGAGCAGATATTTCTCGTGCAGGAAGAGGTGTCTCTGCATGGGCTTGAAGCGTGCCAGGTCTTTCACTTTCGCGTGACCCTTCTTATGCTCCAACCACACGCTGAACGACCCCTGCATCATCAAGCGGCCCAGATCGCTGAGGTTGCCCTGGAAACACAGGTCAAGGGTCAACAACGACTCCGAAGGGGTCTTATATTATTGATCTCCTTTTTCATTTAATCTGCACATTAAATAAAATGCATCCCTACTTCATATCCAGTGATGGCGATGAGGTGCATGGAGTCATTCACAGCTTTTAGGATGCCTAGAATAGATGAGAGCGCCTCCTGAAGGTCTTCCTCACCGTCACAGCCTTTGCTGTACTTCAACAGTTCCTGATATAAACACACACACATTCACACAGGGGTTACCTGACAGAGGTGCAAATATAGGAGTTATATATTTGGGTCTGGGTCTAGTTTACCTTGAGTAAAAGCTGGTATTTGGTTATTCTCTGCACTGGCTTGAGCAGGTACGAGTCCAAACCGAGCTTATGCTCCAGTTTCTTTTGACACTCCTGAAAATAGCATACAAAAATTATTTATTTTTCGTTACTGTGAATATAGTTTATACTATTTATAAATCTTACTATTAAACTATTATAGTACAGTATTATTTATGAAATGGTAATAATAATAATACATTTTAAGTTTGGGGCAGTACATTTTTTTTTAAAGAAATGTGCGTGTGCGACTGTGCGTGTGTATAAATATTCAGCACTTTTGATCGCATTTAATCAAAAGTGACAGTAAAAACATTTCAATTGTTACAATTTTTATTGCAAATAAATGCTGTTTGTTTTGAACTTTCTATTCAGCATGTTAGATGTGATTTTTGAAGGATCATGTGACACTGAAAACTTGAGTAATGAAGCTGAAAATCCAGCTTTACATCACATTTTAAAATATTTTCAAATGGAAAACAGTTATTTTAAATTGTAATAATGTGTTACAATATTACTGTCTATAATGCATTTTTATCAAATAAATGTAGCCTGGGTGAGCACAAAACATTGAAAAAAATCCCAAATCATTTAACTTGTTAACTGGTCTTGTTTTAAAGAAGACATTTGGCAGATTTTTGTAGAAGTGAAATAAATTAAGAAGGTGAAACATAAAAAAAAAGTAAAATAAGTTTGAGTTTATGGAAATGTAAATTTAAAAAAAAAAACATAATTATTCAAATTTTACATAAAATATATATTTTCAAAACCTGGGCTACTCTAAATCTGCAGAAAAATCAAAGCCAAAAATCTGAACAAGTGTTTAAATATCTCAAAAAACGCGCTTTCAGTGAGTGTGTTTGGGCACAGTACAAAACGCTTCCACTAGGCTAGGGCACAACCAGACTCCATTACTGCCCATATAAGGGCGTCTCCATTTCCATATGTGTTTTGAGTGATATGAACCATTATTTCCACAATTTTCATACAATTTATGAAGTAAAGATCCTATTCAGAAGTAGTATGGGAAGTTTGGCCGATTTTGATATGAATTCAACCTCTAAGAAACATACAAAGGACATGCATGTGCATTATAACTCCCTGCCACATCACAAATGGTGAATTTATCTTTATATTTCAAACTTTTCAGACTTTTTTTTCCCAAAATAATTGAATGGGTGCTATCTTTTGATCTCTTGGCATGAAAACAAACTGAGGTTTCTACCATTTTTTCATGATTTTTCATGTTCATCGCTATTTCAAAATAAAGGTCTGAACACTTATGAGTATGAAAATATTCTTGTTGCATATTTATAAATTATGGCTCCTCCATAATTTATTTTGAAAATCAGTCACCAAATATGGAAACTAGAGATTGTAAGCTTTCAAATGACATATAGTTTGTCAATAATACTTAAGGTTTTTACTAAGATATTATAGTTTTAAACGTCCTACCTGTGGGACGCGACAGCTAAGGGGTTAACAGTAGTGTATATAAGGTCCTATATATTGTATTCCTAAAATATTAGCTGTGACACTCACTAATATGACCCTTTGGATTATAGAAAAAAAGATGTGCTTATATGTAACGTGGCTTAATGGTGTCTTAATGTAAGATGACCTGGAAGAAAGCGCAGTCAGAGCACTGTCTCCACAGAGACTCGGAGCGAGGCTTGTTCTGACAGTACTTCTCATATATCTGCAGATCCGTCATCTAACAAAACATGAAAAAGACATTTGAAAAATCCCTTTAATCATGTAATAAACCAGAATGTAAAGTAACATCAGACTCACTCTCTCCAAAAAACACCGGCCCACAAGCTCAGGATAGTCTGTGTACGTCTCCAGTTCACGAAGAAAAGTCCTAAAATAGATCGAGAATAAGAGGCACTTCAGCTTTATAACACACGAGTGAAGCTCAAACGGAGACACACGAGTTGGGGGTTCAACTCACTTCTTGTGGAACTGGTATATCTCAGGCATGTTGCCAAAGAGGATGTCCTTCTTGTGAAGCAGCGTGTTGGGGATGAGATGAGCCATGGCTGGGTTGTCCATTTCTGCCGCATAACCCTAAACACAAACTCATTTGTCAAGTCAAATGCGCTAAAAGTTATTAAAGTCACCATGAAATCAAAATTGACAATTCTTAGTTGTTCATGGAATATTTTTTTCGCTTGTAATCTTTCATCAAAACTAGCACGAGGGCGGGGCAACCTGTCACTCAAATGAGATCCACCAATAGCAAACCACCCCAAGCCAATCAATTCCCCATGGACAAATTCAAGTCCTGTCGTACATTTTTTTCTTGTTCGAGAAGCCGTTTTACTTGGATATTCGTCATAATAGGAAAGTAAAGACGATTGCAATTTCTGTTTCATGCCGACTTTAAAACATAAACTGATCAAACGTACAATTGCTCTTAATTGGAAAAATATCAATGAGCCAAGAATTGGAATGTGGATTAAAGAAATGGCGTCAAACATGTCAACGTACATTGTTAAAAATAAACAAAACACTTTTGATGATGTCTGGAGACCTTTTACTAATTTCTTAAGGCATAATGTCAATGTTGGTAACTTGTTACAACAAGAACAAGCTCTGAGGGCGTAGAGTAGCATCATGATATTCTAAATAGACATGAGAAACACACTCCCTACCTGATTTAGGTGTCTTTTATATATATATATATATATATATATATATATTATTTTTTTATTTTAATTATTTATTTATTTATTTATTTTTTATTATTATGTTATTATTATTATTTATCTCCTTTTGGGGAGGGGTGATGGGAGGGAGAACAGGGTGAAAAAGGTTTACTGTGTTTTACAAGATTGTTATTCAGTGTGTAATTTTATGTGATATGTAAACTAAACAAATTAATAAATATATTGTAAAAAAAACGCAAAAAAAAACAAAACAAACTGATCTGACCTCTAGTAGTGAAAGGTGTCAGTGTAACTCACCTCGAGCACACACAGCAGCTCCTCCACATACGCTCTCTCCGTCTCCAACAGCTCGTTCATCACATGCCTGAAGTGAACGGACGTTCAACAGATAATCAGTCAAATACAAAAAGACACCCAATAGACTTTTTTTAAGTCGGCCCTGACTGACCGTCTAAGCACAGCAAAGTTCTCCTCTTCATCAGAGACAGACGGGTGTCTGCTGCCGTCACTCTGTAAGTGCATCTCTCCCTGCAAATATCAACAACCATGCTTTGATTTCTACCTATATAACACGCACACAGTGTCTTGAAAATGTGTTCATTTTATTAAAATCACACATATTTTTAGCTCAACGTTCAAAATACACTCCGACTAACTCGACATTTGTTCATTTTTAAACTGCTAAGGTTGTGTGCGATCATCTGAACAAACAATTAAAAATGTATACAATTAAAATAAAACAAAATCTAAAAATCTGTTCACTTAATATTCAATTAAGTAAATGCTAAAGTGCAACAAATGCGTAAGTGAGCAGAGCAGCCACTTTTCCTTCATTTATCAATATCGAAGCAGTATTATAAATATTACTGCTTATAAAATAGAGATAAGATACCTACTTTTCTGCAGTTTCCATTGATGATATCACCATCTATAGTCTTCTCTCTATGCGCTGGGGATAAAAAAGACAAAGAAACATGCATAAAATATAATAATATTCTTTTTTTTGTGGCAATGACCCCTGCAGTTTTCTATTATGAACACTAGATGGCAGAAGAGTAAAGTAAATGACAGGGTTAATAAAAACATTTCCTGTGTCCTCAAATGAAATGGGCTTTTTTTTTTTTTTTACAGAACCATTTATTTATATTTTTAAAAAAAGTATGGATAAAGGTTAGGAACCTTTAATAGTATTACAGCACATTGTGAATGTATATTAGCAGCACGCCACGTGTTGTTACTTTTGGCACCTAGAAACAGTGACACGGCAATCAAACACACAAAAAGTCACGTTTAGGGGATTAACCTGGAGACAAGATGGGTGATTTGATGATGGCCTCGGGACGTGGGGCGACGGGCTGCACGGGTCGTGTCTGTTTGGCTGCTAACTTCTTAAGACTGATCCTCCTCTTCTCGAATATTTCCTGCATGGACAGCTGCTTCTGAAACACTTTGTCCACCTGATCCTGTCAGAGCACAGAAAAAAAAAAATCATTCAACTTAAACCTGACAAGACATTTGACTATAATTTCCATATTCTCAATAACACTTGAAGGGGTAGTTTACTTTTGAAATATTTTTTGGCATGTTTTAGCTTACCTCAAGGGCATCCAAGATGTAGGTGTCTTTGTTTCCGCAGTAGTTTCAATTTTTATATTTTTAGGTCAGACCGTTCTTGTCTGTCAGTCATATAATGGAGGTCTATGGTCACCACCTCAAAGAGCATGCACAGAGAAGCCCAAATTAAACATGATTTAATGACTCGGAAATGTAAGTACACATTGATGGCCTAAGACAAGAAACGAGCGGTTTGTGTGAGAAAACGAACAGTATTTATATAGTTTTTACCGAAAAGCGCCCGCGCCCTCAGATCACTTGGACGTGGCTGTGGTTACAAGAGGTAAAAACGATATAAATACTGTTCGTTTTCTCACACAAACTGCTCGTTTTATGTCTTAGGCCATCAATGTGTACTTACATTTACGAGTCATTAAATCATGTTTAATCTGGACTTCTCTGTGCATGCTCTTTGAGTTGGTGACCATAGAGCTCCATTATATGACTGATAGACAAACGGTTTGACCTAAAAATATAAAAATTTTAAATACTGCGGAAACAAAGACACCTACATCTTGGATGCCCTTGAGGTAAGCTAAAACATGCCAAAAAATATTTCAAAGTGAACTATCCCTTTAAAAAACTAATATATGTTTAAATAAAAATCTATACACACATATTATGGCTCAGTTTTTTTTGTTTTTACCCTGAAGTCTTGAGTGAGCACAGACTCATATTCCCTCCAAATTGCACTCAAATCTGTCAGCTTGTGCTGATTGGCTGTATCCAGGTAACGCTCAATCTCCTGCAGCGCTGACTCCGCCCCATCCTGTGATTGACACTTATCCACAGGCTGAGACGCCAGCAGGTAGATCCCATCATCACACCATTTAGAGGCCTGAGAGTGACAGAAGAAGAAAAAGAGTCAGTCATCATCATTAAAGAAGTTTTTCTGGCTTTTAGTCCATGTCTGTTAGCTTTGAGACCATTTGTAATCTATTCCTAAAAGTTGACAAAGCCTCCTCCTGAATTATAAATAGAGACAGACTTAAACCAAAGGCTATTAGCTATTTAGCTATGTCTATTTGATATGTCCTGCTGCAACTTGGAAATAAGTCAGCACAGGAATAAAGTTCTCTCATTGACTATTTTAGAGGGGTGTCATCGGGTGGGCCCAGTACCTTCTCTAGAGACTGGTGTAGCTCCATGGCTTTGAGAAGATGAGCTTTCTTTTCGTTCAGGACACCGCTGATCTCCTCACACACAACCCGCAGCTCAGAGCATTTGGGCAGGATGGAATCCACAGCGTAATGAGACGCTTCGATCAGCAGATCTGCATCACACGCTAGAGACAGAGCCCGGTCCAACACCTCCTACAGACCGAGAGACACATTTTTATTTTATTTTTATTTTTAGAATACACACACAAAAAAAGAATAATTAATTTTATTCAGCAGAACACATGAAATTGGTCAAACATAAGGGTAAATAGTACATTTCTAATGACAGTATAGTTATATAATGTAACAAAAGATTATGATGATTTAAAGGAGTAGTTCACTTTAAAAAAAAAAACTTTTGCTGATAATTTACTCACCCCCATGTCATGCAAGATATCCATGTCTTTCTTTCTTCAGTCGAAAATAAATTAAGGTTTTTGATGAAAACATTCCAGGATTGTCCTCCATATAATGGACTTCAATGGGAACCAAACGGTTCAAGGTCCAAAAGACAGTTTCAGTGCAAACTGTTCAAAGGGCTTTAAATGATTCCAGACGATGAATAAGGGTCTTATCAAGTGAAACGATCGCTCATTTAATAAATAAATAAAAAAAGTTTGTTTTATAAGCTCAAATGCTCGTCTTGCTCTGTTCTGTGATGCGTGTTTGTGACTCCTGTTCGAACTCGTTTATTTGTTTTTTAAATGACCAATCATTCCGCTTGATAAGACCCTATTCATCGTGTGTCAATAAAAAAAAAAGCTGCACTGAAACTCTCTTTTTGACCTTGAACCGTTTGGTTCCCATTGAAGTCCATTATATGGAGAAAATCCTGGAATGTTTTCATCAAAAACCTTAATTTCTTTTCGACTGAAGAAAGAAAAACATGGACATCTCGGATGACATGGGGTGAGTAAATTATCAGCAAAAGTTTTTTAAAAAGTGAACTACTCCTTTAAATTTCACACAAATGCTGCTCTTTTGATCGTTCTATTCAATAAAAAAATGAAGAAAAAAAACTATCGTGGTTTCCACAAAAATATTAGGCATAAACATTAAATAGTTTTCAACACTGATAATAAGAAATGTTTCTTGAGTAGTAAATCATTATACAAGAATGATTTCTGAAAGATCATGTGACACTGGATTTATGCTATAAATTTAAAATATTTAAAAAAGCAGTTGTTCTATTAATATTTTACAGTGTTTTTACTATATTTGTGATTAAACAAAATGCAGCCTTGGTGAGCATAAGAAACATCTTTCTAAAACAATTTAAAAAAAAAAAAATCTTACAGACCCAACCTTTTAAATCGCATGTGAATATTTTTATTTTAATAAAGTGACCATGGCAGCAATGAAAACAAATCATGTTATAATAACCGTTATAGTCTTTAAAATTCTGCTGTTGATGAAGTCAATCTTTGGGTGATTTTTTTACTTAAAAACAAAATAAGTTTGGCCACCCAGAACTCCCACAATCCCCTTGTGTCAGCAGAATAACTCCAGCGTGGTGATGGGTGATTTATCACATTGGGTAAAACACCCCCCTCTTCTCTCCGCAGGATGAGGACATGTGGGTGATTTCTGAAATGGCCTCAAACTGCCACTCTCAGCAATTTCATTAAGGAAGGTGAGATTTGCATGCTTTATAAGATTGCCTGTATCTACACACACTAGAACATTATAAGGACAAATGAAAGTGCGTTGGGTCTGGATAGAAATGAAGGGAAGGATCTGTAATAGATTTTTTGCAGTACTATATTCTTTAATTTTGTATCTGAGTGATAGTATCATAACATCATCGAGAAAAACAATGAATTAATTAGACAGCAGGTTAATACTTACGCAAGCTCTTTCTTCGTGAATGGTCAGCTCTTTCAGGATATGTTCAGCGTGGGCGGGGCTTATTCCTACTTCCGAGAAGCCTGATAATCTTTCATAGACCAGGTCTAAATGACCTCTAACCTACAACACAGATTACAACTATTGCTCATACAGAAGTTTAAGTTACAGCGCATGAATTAATAAAAGCTAATTCAAAATATTAATATCAAAATAATAATAATAAAAAAAATACATGTATAAGTGTTACAGATGAACCAGTGTGTGTCGCTCACCTCCCTGTAGTCCTGCTCAAAATGCCGCAGTTGCAGACATTGCTCTAGCTTGGTCTGATGTTTGTCCCAAAAATCATCAAATGCTGTTTCAGTCTCATCTAATTGACCAAGCAACCTATAGAAAGAAAGAGAATAATACTTCACCCAATCTGTCACCACTTACGTTCTTCTGTGGAACATATATATTTTGAATATCCAAGCTGTTTTTTACCATACAATAAAAACATACAGTGAACAAGAAGGCAAAAAAAAAAAAAAAAATTGTCTTCTGAACCCAAAAGACACAGTACCTTCCGAAGTCATACAAATCATGCCCACTATCATAGCTCTGAAATCTCATTCTGTATGTTTGACTGTTTCCATAATAAAAACCTTAAAGGCACACTATGGAGGAATTCTGTTTTTGTCAAACAGCGACCCCTAGAGTTGCCGTAAAGTACTTGTATTTAATGTTACTGTCGTAAATACCACTCACGCAGTGTCTCTGCCATAGACTGGTCTCTGCACTCCTGATACCCATTTGAAGCTGTTATATTAAGGTACAAATCTTGCGTAGTGTGCATTTTTTGCATTAAATAAGAGATCTAGCGCTAAAATGTGTTTTTGATACATAGAGTCTCTTGTGGCGCCGCGCGCGCAGTCTTCACTCAGATGGGCTCTCCAATCGATCGCACCTGCGGAGACTTTTTATTCATTCCGGTGAAATCACGAAATAAAATGCACAAAAACGTGTCCCTGCTTGATATAGACTGTAACCACTGATGAACATATTCAGTTTTGATGAGAGAGAACAAACTTAGAACCTGTAAGTATAACCTCTGACACGCTTGACAAAAGATCTACCACTAGACCATTAAACAACTCAAACAAAACTGGATCGATGCATTTATTTTAGGGCTGTGCAAAAATTAATTGCAATTAATCGCATCCAGAATAAAAGTCTGTTTACATAATATATTTGTATGTGCTGTAATTATTTTGTATATATAAATACCTATGCATGCATGTATATATTTAAGAATTATTTGACCTTAAATTCTGTATATATATATATATATACATACAGTATATATATATATATATATATATATATATAAATACATAATCTATATTATAAAAATATAAATATTTTATATATGAATAACACATTTTCTTAAATATATACATGCATGTGTTTGTATTTATATATACAAAATAATTATATACAGCACACACAAATATATTATGTAAACACAGACTTTTATTCTGGATGCGATTAATCGCAATTCATTTTTGCACAGCCCTAATTTATTTACAGCGGCGTCTCCCCAAGCTTAACTACCAGGATGATTCGCCCTACTATGAGTTTGTTTACCACCGAAATGACTTTGAAGCTGTTACAATTCTTGCATAGTGTGCCTTTAAAGGGGTCATCGGATGCAAAATTCACTTTTATATGGTTTTTGCATATAAACATGTCTTTACAGTGTGTGGACACTACAACCATGCAATGAAAAAAATCCATTCACTCTTTTTTTTTAATCCTCAAAAAACACTCAATAATCAAGCCGTTTGGATTTTCTGAGCAATATGATGTCATATTGCTCATGCTCCGCCCACAACCACTGACAGACTGTGCAGTATTAGCATATTTCCACCCTCAGCCATTTGTAATGTGTACTCTCCGCAAAGGACACTTTACTCACCCCATGAAAGAGAGAGGGGTGGGGTGAACAGTTGCTCATTAGCATTTAAAGGGACATGCACCGAAACCTTTTTGAGGTGGTAAAAAGGGTGTTGTTTTACACAACCATTGAGGAATTAAACTTTACATGAAGACCCTAAAGAATCATACCGACTTGTGTAAAGTAGACACCCGATGACCTCTTTAAACAAATATAGCCACATCAAGATAATAAAGGCTGACAGCAGATGCCTGTGGATATTAACACACACACACACATCCCAGAACACTGCTTCAGTGAAAGGTCATGCGAGTAGAGCTGGACTTCCTGTAAGTTAATGCTCTTTTTGCATGCGTGTCTGTAGATTTGCTGTATAATCTTCACCAGGTGGCTTGTCTTGTTGTGTATGTAAAAGCACAGCTGACCAGAACAGCTTAATAAGGACGAAAACCGACCAAGGACACGCAACAGTCTGCTGCTGCATTGTAACCGTCTGGTCTCTCCTTTTTGCATTCCAGCACGGTAGATGGTATCTCACACACACACACAGACACAGACACACACACCTCTGAACAGTAGCCAGGTTCTCCAGTTCATCCTGGTTCATGGTGTAATCTGGATCTTTCACCAGCGGCTCATTGATGCTCTCCAGCAAACGTCCTCCCTGACAGAGAGCGATCCTCAAGTCATCCTGCACACACACACACACACAAAATAAACATGCTATTCACTCCGAATCATGAGCATGAATTATTTATGCAAACTCAAGGTTTGTTTATAGCTTATAGTCATGTGAATAATTCATGTTAAATTATTAAGGTTCCTACTGGATATATATATATATATATATATATAAATACAAAGTATATATATATGAAGAGTTCAGATGCAAAAGCCTCTAAATGCCATTTGAAATTTTCTTCTTTAATGATGATTTTTATCAAACTTGTATATTTAAGTTCAGTTATTTCACTTAAATAACAATTAATAGGTAATTATCATTGCCATTTAAGTGAAATCACTGAACTTAAATATACAAGCTTGATAAAAATCATCATTAAAGAAGAAAATTTCAAATGGCATTTAGAGGCTTTTGCATCTGAACTCTTCATATATATATATATATATATATTAGGTCTGTCAAACGATTGATCACATCCAAAATAAAAGTTTTTAAATATATGTATATTTTTTAAATTTTATATTTTGTCATGTTATAAATATAAATATATATATATATATATATATATATATAAAAAATCACGATTAATCGCATCCAAAATAAAAGTTTGTATACATAATATATGTGGGTGCACTGTGTATAATTATTTTGTATAGATATAAATACACACATGCTTGTATATATTTTCATGTATGTAATGTATATAGATTTATATAAAATTTATATTATATATAAATATAAATATTTTATATAAAAATAATATTTTTTTCTTAAATATACATGCATGTGTGTGTATTTATATCTATACAAAATAATTATACACAGTGCACCCACATATATTATGTAAACACAAACTTTTATTTTGGATGTGATTAATCGTGATTTTATATATATTTATTTATTTATTTATAACATGACAAAATATAAAATAAATGACACGCAAAATGCAATCAACCTCCTTCAAGTATCATTTTGCTTTTGCATAATGAATTATAATAAAAAAAAACTAAAATAAACAGAATAATAAAAAAAATAATGTCCATGTATTTACATATGGGTAAGAAGCTGTGTTGAAGCAAAATAATATACAACAAGGTGCTCATTATAAATAAACCCTGATGTTTAGTAATTTCACTCTGACCTTCATCTTGTCCTTTTTCTCTGTGTGGATGGCTAGAAGGTTGGACGTGGCCTCGACATCATTGGGCAGTTCTGTCTCTGCCAGCTCTGTCCCGAAAGACTGGAGAGTCTGCGCTGTTTTCTTCACCATCAGAGCAAACCCTTCAATGGCCTACAGACACAACAACACAAACCCAGAGTCACACATGCTGGATCAGTGCAAAACTACAGCATTAACATAACAGGGTGTGCATCAAATAAACAACATCCAGAAGCTCAGCACTTAAACACAGCAACAATGCGGATGCACTGAAAATCAATTACTGATTACTTAAAAGCAAGTCCACAAATGGAACGGGAAGAACTGCAATTCATTTGCTCGAGATGATGATTGACATCCTCCGGGAGGACTCATTTTTTTAAATACCTCATTATAATGATGAAGAACCAAGACTTAAGGTGTGTTTGGAGTTAGTGTGAAGATGAAAATGTCCACATGTACAGAATTCAGTGAATGCATAGAACAGAATCACATAATACAACTTGTCCTTCAATCTCATGAGTAATAAATACACTAGGACACACATAAACACATTGTAACATAGACAATGGTTTTATACTGTATAAACTGTATATTAAATCCCCCTTACACTAACCCTACCCATCAAAGATGACTTTCAGCATTTTTACATAAAAAAAAAAACACATCACTTGTATGATTTATAAGCAGTTTCTCTTGGGGACCAAAAAAATTTTGACATTTCAAAGGCATTAAGCTAGATAATAAAAAAAAAACGTATTCAGTAAGGATGATTTGAAAATATTAAAAGTGACCGTAAAACCATTTGTAAATGTTATAAAAGGTTTCCATTTCAAAATAAATGTTTTCAGCATGATGCTAATTATAATAGGAATGTTTCAAATCAGTATATGAGAATGATTTCTGAAGGATCACGTGACACTGACTGAAGACTGGAGTAATGCTGAAAACTCAGCTTCGACATCACAGGAATAAATTACATTTGAAAATATAACATAACTAAGAGACTTCTTTCAAAAACATAAAACCATCACCAAACTTTAAAACGCTAGTGTATTTCTGCAGTTATCAATAGACACCTCACTGACATACATGTAGCATAATATACTATAGCACATACAGTAGAATACATACACAGCATATACTGCACACTATGGGCAAATGAATTTGTACGCTGATGCATGTATCATTCCTATTTTGCACCCGTAAGCTTGTCATTAACTCATCAGTCGTTCATTCATTGAGTGGCTTCTACATCTAACCAATCCCATCCTCGCTCTTCATTAGAGCCAGACCGATATATCGGCAGGCCGATATTTTTCCAAACTATCGGTATTGGCAGTTATAATGGCCGATAAATGAATATTTAAAAAATAAAATAAAAACGGATGAAACACGCTTGAACCATGTCATGAGTTTTGGAGTTGTACAGTTTGTCCACCAGAGGGCACTCTACACCATCCCAGTTGGCAACACTCGTTGAGTTGTTCACGAGACATACATTGCTTAAATAACAATTAAAAGAACATCCCCATCAGTTCTGTTAACTCAAATAAGCTTGACAAAATTTTGCTGCTGTTATATAAGCCGAGAGTGAAGCGAAATTAGCTAGTAATAGTTACGTTACGTTGTTACAGTGTAGTTGACTGACTGTCCTTTTAACTTTTGGCAATGTGACTGAAGTATTTCTTTAACAGCGCGTGACATCGTTATAGCGATGAGACGTATCATCTCTCCTTGGCCTGTTATATCGAAAATGTATGTTTTACAATTTGCAGTATGATGTTATCCATTGCTAAATTATGGCTCATCATAGACTAGCTAACCACAAAGCAAGCTAATGCCACTGTCATCAGTCTGTTCGGTTGTGACAATAAAAGAAACAAGTTTCTTTTTAAAATGCATTATCATATTATTTTAGTTAAAACTCATAAATAACTACAAATAACTAATGTTAGGGAAATCTGTTAATGTTTTGTTGTGCGTTTCTGAAATATATATATATATATAAAAAAAAATATCGGCCGATATATCGGATTTTAAAACCAAAAAATATTTGTATCGGTATCGGCCTTCAACATCCTTTATCGGTCGGGCTCTACTCTTCATTTCTGGGTACTGGGTACCACCCGTCAGTACTGTAGTGAACCTGGATCTGTACTCACGGTGCGGTGTGAAATCCATTTCTCGTGGCAGTACTCCTGCGTGCCGCCCAGTTCCTGCGTGAGCTGTGTGCGGTCGATGTAACTGTGGAGCTCAGTCACAGAGCTTAGCATGATCACCTACACACACACACAGTTCATAATATAGGCCACTTCTCTCATGTCAGCGTATAATCCAATACTATGCTCTTCATTAACCACACATGAGGCTGTGTGTATGCGCACTTACCGGCACTTTCATTTTAAAGTCATCCTTGTTAAACTTAAATAAGATGTCTGAGATGGTCCGCTGGAAGAGTGTTGTGGGTCTCAGTACCAGCACCAGCTGCAGGTTGCCTGGGAAAGAGCCCTACAAAACACACAAACACAAAAGAAAACTAAGAAAAACATTGCAAGCAAAATACATATAAATACCAAAGCTGGGGTGTTAGTGAGCCATTACATTTGACTGGTACAGCCTCCCTCCCACCGTCTGCATTGACACACACACACCATCTATATTCTGTTGCCATGACAACTCAGTTTCTTGAGAGACCAGAGAGGCTAACAATGGTCTCACATACAGTATGCTTCCCTCCCTGAGCTCTCTCTCTCTCACACACCCTCTATTTCTTTGTGAATGAACACACACACACACCCCTCATGGAGCTCTTATGTTTACAGTCTCTTCGTTAAAATGTCTCCCTACTGGGCACCGCGTCAAATCAAAAATATGTCCGTAGATCGATACAGAGCTGTGATGTTTGCATGGACTGTGGAGTGGGTCTCCTGACAGCTGAAGGGACAGCAGTGTAACTGACAAGTGTGTGTGAGTGTGTGTCAGTAAGCAGTGAAGCAGAAAGATGAGGCTTTACAAAATGACACTGAGAACTGATTTAAAAAGCGTTGGTCCTGTATTATGAATATATCGGACCATTAAAAATTATAATAATTATGTTAATTCAGTTACAATAAAAAATTTCCTCGAATAAAATATGAATCCAGCTAATTCAGTCTAGTATTAACTATAATAAATATAAACATTTAACATTTTTAAATCTAATAAAATGTGCCTATTTATTAATCCAATGAATCGCAAATTACACCAAAAGATAATTTAAAGTCATTATTGTGTTAAATGAGAAAAGCATTAAAAAGACACAACAAAAGTAGTTTTAGAATGAATTTTTTTATTTTATTTTATAAAATTTACACATAAACTTTTAGGTTACATTGGCCTTTCCAGAAACTGCATTTACAGAACAAAAGAGTTTTCTTACAAGCCTTCTTCAAAATATCTTTTTTTCATGTTCCGCAAGAGAAGGAAATTCATACAGAAGGAAAGTCCTACAGGTTTGAAACGACACATGGTTGAGTAAATGAAGAAAATGAGGTAATAATATTGAGTGAATGCTCTCTGCACATAGTATACGCTCATCAAATACTTTCACTTCAAACTCAATAAATCCCGGCCTCAGCCCATTCAGAAATGCCGGTACTTAGGAAGAAACCTATATTTTTATTACATCATTAATTACATCATTAATATTAAAGAAAAACGTTACACAGATTTTGAGGCTTTTGCATTTGAAGTCTTCAAAATGTAAATAAACCATTTTCATTTTTGGGCAAACTATTCCCAAAATATGATTTATTGATTATATTTTTTCATACTCTTAAAAGGTACAATATGTAAGATTTTTGTAACAAAATATCAATAAATCACTTGCACAGTGTGATATATTTCCTGCAGTTGTGTACTTACAAGATCCCAAAAGTCTCCAAAGATTTATTTATTTCAGAGAAATGCCACTTTTAAATAAGTGGCCGTCCCGGAAAAAAATGTCGCCTGTCAATCACGCAATATCCGCGCTACCCTCGATTTCCGTTCATAGTGCCATGACGAAACCATGGCGACAGACGTGGAAAACTGCGTAGTGCGCAACGTTTAGCGGTGCGCAGTTCTTGTTCCTTTCAAACATAGACTTTGGGACAAACAAGGAGAACTAAAATGAGGATCATATCAGCATGCTAAGAGATGGCGTCCGCGACTAACTTGAAATCGACAGAGCTTCACGAGTCACGACTTGACAGCTTTATTAGACAGGTGAGCAAATGTACTGTACATAAAACAAATCAATGTTATATAACGTTAGCTCAACAAAATGAAATGTTAGAATACGGTCAGTATGTTATTCCAATGTTGATCTAGCCGCTAGTGTCGTATAGCAAACAAACTAACATGTAGTCTAACATTATAACTTTCAACACACATTTAAATGCCGTTTAGTGTGATCGTGTAACGTTAGACCAAGTGAAACAGCGCTGCGTTGCCTCACAAGTTTAATTAGTCTAATAAACTGGCCTGTGTGAGTAATCCAGCACTTGAGGATAGTTCCTTTATATCCGCCTGACTCGCGTGTGATATGTATCTTTTTAGCAATCGCGACCTGCTTCATACCACTGTAATGTTAATAAACATGAATGTTTGCACCCATCCATAAACATTATTAGATCCATCATCTTGACAGCAAGTCCCATCATTCAGCTCATCACTGCGTCATTAACCTACGCCTTTGTTATTGTTGGAAACTGCGCCCTCTAGTGACGAAAAAATCTTACATTTTGTGCCTTTAATAAGAAACTAAAACAGCCAGTAGGTGGCGGTAAATGTGTAAGACATTGAGTCATTCATTCATTCGATCTGTTCATATGGTTGATTCATTCAGGAATCAAGTAAATGACTATGAATCACCTGATTGATTCGCTCAAAAAACAGAATCATTCGGTAATTGGTAATAAAACAACACTTTGTTACTCTGAGCCGCACAACAGCTCTGCTCTGGCTTTAAAGGAAACAATTAAAGGAACATGAGCAAAATTAGACACTATTCTGTCTAAAAAGTAACTATTTATTGAACTGTTTTATAAATAAAATCAATATCACATTTGCACTATTCGGGACAAAAACAGCACTTACATGTATAATAATGCTAAATCATTTCATTTAAAAATGAGACTAAAGTTCATACAGAGGTGTTTTTGTTTTGAATAGTACTGGTTTGAACCAAAACCCCAAATGAAAATTCAAGTCAAATTTCATTAGCATGTCCTGATGCATCGTCGCTGCATTGAACTGCCCAGTCACTCTGTCCACAGATTTAAAGGGGGTGGCGAGACGCACAATCAGGATTTGTTATCAACACTTGAGCCATCCCCAAGAATCACAGTCAAGTCCGTACAGCTCAGCGGGAATCTGCCAAACATGAGATAATCCTACAGCGGGCTGATCTCACAGTCTGCCGCGCTGAAATGCCTCCAGCTCTGGGTTTCCAGGGAAATTTGTTTATCGTGCCCCCCTTTTTTTCTTGGACAGTGCTGTTGTTTGTTTGTATTCTCGTTTAACAAATAGGAAAGAGTGAGATTCAAGGGCTAATGAGAATCATTAGTGGCAATTGGACGTTTGTTGGCAGAGCGGACCTCAACACTATGAGAGATGCTGATTTGTTAACCTCACACCAGAAATTTGACATAATCGCCACATAACTCGTTAGATTTGAAAGGATATCAAAGCATCTGAGCACTCTCAAAAAAATGTTATGGTGTCTTTATTTTTGTTTAATCAACAGGTTCCACATACATGGGTTAAGTTAAACAAACATAATTGGTTCATGTAACTTCAACATTAAGTAATTTTAAGCAACCCGATTTAAGTAGTCTCAACGTGAATTTTAAAAGGCTTCATGACATGATTCAGGTATTTTTTATATTCGTTCATCCATTAATATTTCATTTATTTTAGTGACACATAATTAAATTTAAAGACTATAGCTAGCTATTTGCTAGCTTTAGCACATATTAGCATATCAAATGCTAAGTTTTACATGCTCCTTCAACCAAAGCAGTCGAAAACAATTAAATCAGTCAGGATTCTCCACTCTTCTCCAAAATTGTAACCCATTGCAATTTAAATGGTTCTAGTGATTCCAATGTAATTGAACATTAAACACAATTACACACTATCAAGTCTTCCCCTATTCTAAATTTCTCAAAAAAAAAAAAAAAAAAAAAAAAAAAACATAAAATAACACTAGTTTTAACATTAATTCAATCATATGCTAAGCATGCTGGTCACTGTAAAAATGAATGCGCTTTTTCTAATAAAAAAAAATTGTGGCAAGTTATTAAGCTCAATATTAGTTCAATTTAACACATTAGAATTGAGTTAGAATTAATCAAATTAATTCCTTAAAAGTTAACCATTTAAAATGAGTAAAACTTAAAAAATTTAAAAAAAAGTACATTTAAGTCACCATTATGGTGATCGGTGTTTGTTTTAAAATTGTTTTTCTCCTTCAGTGATTCTGCTTGTTAACATCAGGTGCCTTCAATGTTGGCAATATTAAAAGAGTTCTTAATCTTTGCTATCTGTCTGTTATTCAGATATTTTTGTTTATTTTTTTGGTGTAAACCTTACTAATTTTAAATTGTTATCTAGGGAATAATTTGATTATTACTCAATACTAATTTGTTCAGTTTAATTAATAATATTGCTTGTAATCTGTTGCTACAATTTTATTGATTAGAAAAAGCGCATTAATTTTTACAAGCATCGCCCAGTTTCAGTTTTATGCAACACAAATCAATCATGTAATCCAACACAAACGGATTAAGTAAACTTAAATTTGACATATATTTAAGCAGATTGAACACAATCAAATTAAGTTTGGACAAAATGGCAGTTGGCTCGCACTATACTGCCACCCTCTGGATGTAAGAGTTTTTTACTTAACATAAATGGTTTGTGTTTAGACAACGCGTTAGGATTTTGTACTGTTAATTACATAGACCTTAACAGAAAAAAAACAAAACATTTCAACTAGTCAAAAACAATTATTATAAGTAAGCTAAATATAAATATATTATGTAAAGTGCACAACCTCCCTAGTTCAAGAAAGCAAACCTGGCAACCGCCAAAACGCACTAAAACCTGAAAAAATGACATTGATTAACAGCGTTCCATTGTGCTCTTTGTATACAACGTCCAAAATCCAAATGAGCAAAAGATTTCCCATTCATAATCACAATGCCCATAAAGCCTCAACCCTCATGTTTGATTGCTGACAAAGGAGTCTCCTCAAATCGAACCCCGCCTTTATATTACCATGACAATATCCAGTTCCTCTAAGGGCAGATTGGCCATGCTTGTCCCAAACACGCTGGCAATAACGGAAAAATCACAGGGGTCCGCTGTGAGCACAACAGGAAGTCGGAGAGAAACGCCCCATTATTGAGTCCTCCATTAAAGCTCATTCAAGCAGATGTGACCAACACAGCTCCTCTTGTAAGAAGCTTTAGTAAACCGCTGTG